CGATCATCTATAATAAATTTTATATCAAACTGACGTTCGTTAATCTAGTGTGAGAAAAAAAATTATCTTGATAACAACAACAATAACAAATTATTTTTATTATCAGGCAATTGTAAGAGCTTTCAAACAGGCAAAACTATTTTCAAGATGCACTATCTTTCTATTCTCATTTTTTATATTTCTCCTATTTTCGTTCGGTAATAAAAATCAACAGTTATTTTCTTCGTTGACTTGCCATTATCACTTTCATTAGAAACATGTTATCAAGATTCTAATAGAAGAAGAAAAACAACACAATACCGGAACTGACATTCGTGTCAAGACAATTTTTTTGTAGGCAAAAAAAACCAGCAATATAATAACTAATAGATTTGAGCAGGCAAACTTTTATAATCAGCTCTAAATTTTTGAAAAAAAAAATACAATTATCCGAATAATAAATTATACTTATCTGCAATAAGAGCAATATATTTATAGTGTAAACAATTCGTTTAAGTTAATATGACAATAAGAGGATATTAACAGACAAACAATAAAATTAGAGACAATATTTTCTTATTACTGATATTCTAGACAATTTATTTGTTTTTAATGATGAACAACAAGTCATATTTTATCGTTCTCATAATATCTCATCATTTTATTTCTTCTTGAAATACTATGTGATTTAATTTTGTATAATGCCTTCAAGGGATAGATTGTTAGCATAGATTGTTAGCATCTATGGAGACAATCCAATCAATGTATCTTCTACGTATACATCTAATCATTTCATGATTTAATGAAAAATAAGCGAACAAATCGTACATTTTTCTTTATAAATAATAATAATTTCTTATAGAGCTGAATTCATTAGTTTAGACCAAATCACTATATCTCATCATCATTTTTTCTTGTCTGAATTGTAAATTAGTTAAATTAATAGACCATAAAACATGCTGTTCTTTACATACACTTCATTTACGATAATAAAATAGAATTACATGGGTCAAACACTGAGTTCAGTTAGTTGTTGAACGAAAACAGGAAAAACACAAAATTTTTGACAAACGTTTACGTAGACAAAAAAAAAATCATCTTAAATGCGTATAAATATCAAACGATACGGGTATATAATAATATCGACAACAGTTGTTGTTATCACATAAATATGATTAAGTATATAGTAGAACATAGCATATACAGATTCCTTCACAGATACAAGAACAACAAATGCATATATATATATATATATATACATCGTTAACTGAATAAAAATAATGCACAATTATTCTGTACAAATTGTCCAAACTTTAGATGATAATTCAAATGTCAATAGACTTCCGAGAAAATCATTTTGATAGCTATGTAGAGAGCTACTGAACGGAAATATTATAAAATTACAAACTTTTCACATAGCACATGTCTTGAACAAACACTTTAGTTTTTACTCCAGAGAAAAAGGATATTTCAATGTAAAAGATGAAATTTAATATGAACCTAGAGCATGAGGACACGTCTAGGTTGTTTTTGATTTAAAATAAGCCGTTAAATTTCGAATGGTATATAAAACGATGTCGATTGTCACAGATATATATATATAGACATGTTTTCAGTTTATCTACGAAGCTACTCATGTGCGCCAAACTTCTTCACGATTTAAGAAGGCTCAAATACATGCATGTATTCCAAATATATAATAAGAAACAGGCAACTTCTTCTTATGGATGTTTTCATTCAGATCCATCCAGTTTACACAGACATAAACGCCATAAAAATGTCGATACTCTTTTCATGTAGGGCATAGAAAATTACATACAAGCTCCGCTTTTGGGTTAAGAAATGTCACAAGATCTTGGAAAAAACAACAGGGCGTCAAGATGTTGGATTCTTGAATCTTTCACTCACTCAAGATCTTGAAACATCTTGGCTTACTCCATTCAAGATCTTGGAAACAGAAATTTTAAGGTCTTGAGTAAATCCACTCAAGATGTTGCAATTGAAAATTTTTCTTGCATTTTACATTTTGTTTTTATTTATGATAGCCATAGTCATCGGATATACGACCATATAAAGTCATAGACTCTTCCTCAAACAACTATGATCAAGAAGGAAAAATATTCGAAGTTATTCTAAGCGTGAAAATATTCGCACTTATATTTATACAAGAGCGTAAAACAAAACGATGATTCAAGAATTTCCAAGATCTTAGTACAAGAAGTAGCGGTCTGCGGGACCGTCTCAGTCCAGCGGGACCTTTTACGGGACAGGAACCAAACGTCATGGGACCGGGATCTAGCAATATGCAGAACAGTCCCAATCCTGCTGGATGGTCTCGGTCCCGCAGGACTTTTAATGCGACCGGGACCATGTTTTTTGAAAATATGGAGCATAAAAATTTCTTAGTTTCTGTGCTTGTTTGTATGTAGACACCAGTTTTGCGAAAAAGAAATAGAAAATTCTAAAAGTCTTCAATTAATACCACCCACGCATGCTGTTCCACGAGCCACATTACAATGCGCTAACTTTCAAACTATCCGTGCTACTTTGAAAAAATATTTGTGGGGTCACGGAACCGGAACCAAAATCTTTTTCTTCACGGGACCGAGATCAAAAAAGTTTGGGCCCGCAGGCTTCTAACAAGAAGTCAAGAAATTACAAGATGTTCAGGATCTTACTAAAAAATTCAAGAAGTCAAGATCTTGGTTACAAGAAGTTTGCGTAGCAAGCAGCTGGAGTAGTCAGTAGAAGGACTGGTATTAAAAACTTGTTTTACTACCAAGGGGGAAAAAACAACACTACACTACACTACACTACACTTTTTCCACTACAGTAGTGACTTTGTAGTGGTCTTGTAGTGGCCTCGTAGTGGCTTTGTAGGCCTTGTAGTGGCCTCGTGGTGGCTTTGTAGTGGCCTTGCAGTGACTTAATTTTTACCGTAGCGGCTAAACTTTAATAGCTGACTAGGTCAGCCACACACACACGCTTGTTTGTTACTGATACAACGTTTCTCTCTTAGTTTTACTTAAAGATACACTAGGATTTCTCAAGTCACTCGTGCATCCCTCGAAAAAGATGAATTATCTGTCTGTTATACACTGATTTCAATGCGACCCGTAATAACTCTGATTTTGAATTGTTATTCTTGTCGTCTTTTTTTCTTAACCTGATTTTGTCTCAGAATATATTCAGAATACAGAAAAGGAGAAAACACTATTTATCAATAGCGCTAATTATAGTAACTCTACACTTTCTCTTGCTCTGGATTATGCATAATGAAGTCTTTTATGTTTGTTTATATTGTGAATTTTTAGTTTGTGTATGTCTGAGAACGTGTCTCTCAGGTTTTATTTGTCTAGTCAAAACGTCATTAGAAAACGGGTTCTTTTGTTGCAAAATGACTACTGATTCACAATGGATTATTATATCACGGATACAGAAATAAACGAAAAGACAAGCTATTAGCATTGATATAGTCCACTAGAAATATTTTATTGCCGCTCTTACTCACTTTTAGGAATTTTCACTACATGTAATGAATGTGTAGTGGACATGTAGTGGGGTGTAGTGGACTGGTAGTGGGGTGTAGTGGAAAATCTCTTGTAGTGTAGTGTTGTTTTTTCCTCCTTGTCTACTACTCATTCAGGAACACAGCAGCTGTCACAAAATGGTTGAAAATGAGAAAGTATTTCAGCTCTTCTGAACGCAAAACAAAACGACAAGTTCGTTTATTATAGATGAGACTGAAGCGGAAGAGCTGCCCAACCTAATGAAAAAACAATTAACTCAATACCTGTATTCTTCTCCGGGTATCTAATCTTCCCAGGTGAAACTCATCTTACAAGATCATACAAGATCTGCCGTTTTCTTATGAAATCTTGTAACAAGATCTTACTGCATGATCTTACAAGATCTTGTCTTAGGATGTTATAAGATCCTGAGGAATCTTGTAACTTCTTGTCATAAGATCTTACATGATCAGCTCATAAGACGTGACAAGACCTTACAAGATCTTGCAATTGAGAGACGTGACTTGTATTTATTTCTTATCGCAAGGTCATACGATTTCTTGTTGTAAGATCTTATATGATCTTGCAAGAATCGATGACTCATTCATAGGTAGGAAATCATAGGATCATTCTACCTATGCCAAATATTATGAATAGAGAAAGATCCTTTTTTAAGAGGATCTAGAGGAAATTTATAGAACACGATCAGACAAATAATCTTATAAGATCTGATGAATTCTTGCGTGATCTTATGAGACCTTACAGCTTCATATGTTATGAGCTTATAAGATTTTACAAGATCTTATAACAAGTCAAAAGATCTTACAAGATCCTTTAAAATCTTATGGTTTCTTGGAAGACCATAGGAAATCTTGATAAGAACTGACTCCTGAAGAATAAGAAAAAGACCCCATTTTGAAAATAGCCAATTTTCTGTCCCTCTATAAAAGTCTTCAGTCGAATTTTTTTCATTTTACTCCCATTTGTAATACTCATCTACAAAATAGCGGCAACGATATTTCTGACTCGTTCTCAGGCTCGGTTACCCAGTCACAAAAGTCAGAACATACAATTACTTTTCACACATCTCTAACTTCAAATTTTTACGATTTATTACTTATGCCTGTTCAAAGGAAATCATGCTTTAAACCCTTAAAGTGATCTATTTCCATACCTTAAGGAACAAACTCTTGAGCCAAAACTGCTGGTTCATCTTTTCCTGTTCTTCAAGAGGTGGCAGCACACGGTAATGTGGTTGGGTAACATAACGGAAACGTTGTATTCTCTCCTTGCGAGAGGAGTTGACAGAAGTAATAATTGGTTGCTTCTACAATCCAGTTAACAAAACTGTTTTTTTCTTCTCATATTATTATATGATGCTTCCTTCTTTACATTTCATACATAACAGTCCTGAAAAGTCACGGTAAAAGTCCAACATGGTCATCGAAAACGTTTACCGCATTCCTCGGTGGTATTATTACACTTTTAATGTTATAATGCTATACTTTTGTCATGGAAGTGCTTCAAAAGTAAAATTGTTTTTGTTTGTTGTAACTCATCGTTCGGACTATCTATCGCTCTATTCTAGACGCGTTGTTTAGATGTTGTAGGCACAGCGTTTTAGTCAAAAGGCATATTGGAGAAATTTTTTTGTCAGGAAAACTACTGGTATGTACTCTTCGAAAACTAATTTGTGAATTTAAAATGTCTTCAGTCCTTTAGCTAGGATACAGTGGCACTGATAAGAAAATATCTGAAATTTTCAGCTATCTTTCTATAAGCAGACGAACTATGATCTTTTCTCTTAGAGTTACTCCTAGAGGATTAACGAGTTTTATCCGATCTTAGTAGAAGGAACTCGGAAAGCCAGAGCCGCAAATAACGGGAGGATGTAGGAGAGTGTGCACTCCCCGAATAATTGAAAAAGCTACTGTTATTTTATCCATTCTGCCGTGAACGAAATTTTTTTTAGTCTATTTCACACTACCTCGGAGAGCAATCCTGTTGTACATCCCCTTAATCTTTGGTACTTATGTGCGGCTCTGCAGAAAGCTGTATCTTTTGAGAGTATCATATTTCAAACTGAGAATATTAGCATATTCTACAAGTACCTCTTCATTAACAAGTGAAACTTTTTTCTTATAGCAGTCGGTAGCGCTTTGCTGAATCTGTTCTATTATCAGAAGCATGAGATGCCTAGATATAGTGTAGTGTATCTTTCTCTTTTTTGTTGTGGAGTATACTGAATATGTATAACCCTAAGAAAGTCTGAATATGCGGCAGAGAACTGTTTATGAAATTTAATTGTTGAACTTACTCGCGGTGTTAAGTTAACAGAAACTCTTGACTTGTTGTATACGGCTTTTGATAGTGTGCATTTAGCCAGTATTATATTTTGTAGATGATTAGTGCAGAACGTTTATCAGCTAATTCTTTCATGAATTATTTTATTTATTGCCCATTACTCTCAGGAAGAGAAGGAGAAGTAATGCCATCAACCAATTCTTTTATACTTAAGTTGATCTACTTTTTATTATTTTACAAAGGAAGAGAAGAAAATCTTGTATTACTATCCACATGGTACAGAAACTAACAATAAAATAAGCAATGTTGGCTATTGTGAAGCTCTTGTAAAATTCACCGAGTAAGAAAATCTTTTTCTCTCATTCGTTGCTAGTGATATGCAAGGGAATTTTACAAATTCAAAAGATTTGTACTTTGTCAAATAAATTCAGTTAATAAAGGTTGTATTCGGGTTTTTTTCTTCAATTACTAGTTGATCTAAGTTACTAGCTTTTATAATAAATAAAAAGTTTTTGTTTTTCCATTATGAGTGAAAAGATATGAGAAATTCTGATCCAAATTTCATGCATAAGGCTCTTGTTCATAGAGGACATGATAATACTGGACGATAATCTAATAGAAAATTATATTTCATTTGGATCACATGAAATCATTAGACACTTAAATCAGCGACCAAAAGTCACAACGAATAATTAGAAATTTAAACAATTATATTCTAATATCACAAGATGATTATTATTTATTTATTGTATGCACGTTTGTGATATTATATTCTATCATTTCGAATAATCACACATTTTTCACAGGCATTGTCAAATAATCGTGTCATTTGCTCACTAAAAATCCAAGCTTATAATAACAAATTGGAAATTGGTGGAGTGACAGTTGTACGTCCTTTAGTCTACGTTCATATAACAAGACGTTTGACTATTGTATTAACAATTGTTGTTCTTGTTTCATTGCTATTCTCATTTTTAACATTTATTGTCTTTTATACTATTTTGGATAAATAAGAAGAAATAGACAACACTTTTGTTTCTCGTTGCAGCTAAATATATTTCTTAACTAAGTTAGATGAAATAATAAAGCAATAACAAATTTATTTCGATAACCGTAGCACTTATGTCTTTAATAATAGAGAATTGGGATGAGATAGTTGTACATATTTACTAGAATGTTCTTGTGTTTATTTTAATTTTATTTTATAGGACATTTGGATTAGATGGTCCATGTGAAACTGTTCATTTTCAAAAAACAAGATTGGTATTCCATAAGGCAGAAGATGACATTTTTATAGCTATGGTAAGTCAATTGTATATATAATCGCATATCAGAAATGTTATTTGAAATTAAAAAACAAAAGAGAAACATTCTGCCGTTTTACATCTTCTTATTTCATGTTAAAGATGAATAATTATTTGTTTTACTTACTTTTAGACACTTTTTGTACCATCTCTTGAACGAAAAAAAGATGATCGTTTAATAACGGAGTATTATGATGACAGTATTAATGATCGTTTAATGATGCCAATTTTGAAACTGAGTCATCGATATTTTATGGTAGAGTATCTATTTGTTGTATTTTATTTTCGCTCAGTATTTATTATTTTTGTTTAGTTGCTGCATGGAACAATATCAGTATATCTACTGAGTGGCGCTTTAGAAGAATTAAAAATTGTTTTAAAAAACCACTTTGATAGAGTAAGTGTTCGAAAAAATTTTTTTAGTCGACATTGTTACTTTGTGAAGGTGTCCTCTCAATTCGTCCCTTCTCATTTTGTCCCTTACAACGTTTTTCTTGATTCGTCCCTCATATGCACGCATCGACTAAATTATTCGGCTTTTAAATTTATTTAATAAACTTATAAACTAAAACAACACTAATAATTAATAATACATAAACAGCGACAATACCACTATATCCACAAGACATCAATTCTTTAGGATAAATTTTTGGAATTGAAATTGAGTTATCGATTATGTTCTCGTTTTTTAGTATATTGATAATCTTTATAATTTAAAACTGGCTTACCACGTTCAGTGAGAGTGAAATATAACATTTTTGAAGAATTTTTGTGTACCCCTAGTACTGAATATCCGTAAATTTATATAGGTTAGTGAACTTCTTTTTTTTAGGCCTCCTAAACAGCTCTAAATTGTAGCTGTTTATATATTGTTAATTATTATTATTATTCTTTTTTACAAAGTTTATTAAATAAATTTAAAAGCCGAATAATTTAGCCTATGTGTGCATATGACGGACGAATCAAGAAAAACGTTTTAAGGGACGAATTGAGAATAAAAATTTATGAGGGACGAATCGAGGCTAAACCATTTCTGAAAGTTGATTTGTTTTATATTCATAAACTATGCATATAAAAACCAACGTAAAGCTATCATTAAAGTTTCGAGTTTCTTTTTTTTTATGTTTATTTGTTTCTATGTTTATTTTAGTTTATTGAAACTCGTTTGTTAAGTGCAATACAGAATGCTACAATAGATTCATCTTATTATGGCATACCATTTTTACCAGTGGAAAGAAAAATGTATTTGAGAGTACAGTCACTACTGAGACGTTTAGAATTAGAATTTTGTTCTTTAAATGAGGCAATGTTTTTATATAAAGATCAACTACTTTGGTATGTGATCCATCATGTTATGTTTTTCAGTTTCACTTACCTAACATTTTTTTTTATTTTTAGGAGTGGTCTGGAACAAGACGATACAAATATTGTTTATGCATTTTTTCGACTCTATCATTGGTCTTATTTGAAAAATACACCATTAAATTCATCACCACAGTAAGTATTAGTTGTCTATTTTTAATTAATTTTCACATTTATTATTATACATCGCTTAGATTTATGCTCAAACGCGCTACTACTAGCCGTTTTTGCTTTTGATTTTCAGCAGAAAAATAAAGAATTAATGTACAACATTCTTATTGATTAATATAGATTTTTGATAGCCAATGCAAACGATATTAGTCCAAATGAAACAATAATAACAAACACGCCACCACCATCTAATTCACAAAAATTATACTTGGGAAATCCACCTGTTTCACATCGAGTTATTATATTACATTTAAATTATATTACAATCTATTTTTTTCTAAATGGTAATTAAACATTTGGTTTCATTTCATCCACTTTTTAAAGTAAATTGAGAAACACGAAAATATTTAAAAAAGTTTTGGATAAATATTTTCTTTGATCATCAATCATTTTCTGATGAAATTTGCATAACTGTCTGATATGAAAACAAATAATTCAAATTCTTATAATATATTTAAATAATCTATCTATTTAGATGATCAAGATTCTGATGACAATAATCAACAATCGAATATAGCATTGCAATTAGTTGATATGCTTCAAAAAGAATTAGACGACATATCTCTTGGTTTAGAAGAATATGCACGTAAAAAATATCCGCAGTATGTTTTATAACGAATTGTTTGATTAAATTATAATTATGAATTATTTCTGTCTATTTTCTAGATCAAGCACAGGTGATGCCAACGTACGTACAATATATTTTAACAAAATGAATATGGCACATTCATCAACTGTTGACTGGACAAAAGAACCCATTAGTAATATGGCTGGAATTGTTAATACACTAGCTGAAGATATGCAATGGTATAATCATTTTCTGAAATATTGGAGACTAGTCATGTCAATTTACTTGCAATCATTTTGCAAAGATTCATCTTCTGTATTTTTTTTCCTGCATATTTATTTCTATCAAATAGATTTGTGTCGTAGAATATAATTTGAAAACTTATCAATGTTGACTTTGCTAACAATTGTAACTTCTTTTTTTCAGGTTTCATTCAACAGCCGAGTTAATGGTTAAACGTGAAAACGATCCATGGGTTATAGCTAAACGTTCAGATTTACGTGAATTATTAATGATTGTTAATCAAAAGAATGCAAATCTGAAAGAAATTAATGGTAAAAGAAATCGATCATTCTTATTATTTAATAATTGTTTTTATTTTATTTAGATAAAGTGAAACAGATATGTGCAACACATTTTAGTAACATATTTTTAATTGAATAATATTTAGAACTGATGCATTTTTTCATGTTAATTATCCCGGTGTTTTTTCGATTATTATCGTCTATTTTGAATGTGTACATGTTCTCTATGTATTCTTTGTCTTGACTTGTTAACTTAATTTTCTGTTTTAACCATATTTTACAATAAATACTAACTTATCTTTCGTGTGTGCGCCGTGTTTCTTACTCCATTTAGGTTGTGCATACATTAAAAAATCGTTGTATTTCTTCAACCCAGTGTGTATGATCTTTTACTAGTATATAATAGAAATGATGAGGATATTAATTAAGGCATTTTTCAATATTTCTGACTTTTTTTTACGAAATAAACTAACCAAAAATTTTTTGCCAAGAACGCATACGAAAAGGGTTCAGATATATGTAAGCGAGTATTATGAGTAAGATTTTGTTTATACAATTTTTTAAAACTGCTTGATTCTGTTAAAACAGTACTATTTTTTGAAGCATCATATCTTTTTGATACGATCGATGCCATTACAAGGTACTAACATCGTAAATGATCTTGTTTTACGTATTACATGATGATGAATTCGAATCTAGTAACGAAAAATTCAAGACATTTCGTTACATTTTTTTGTATATGAAACCCACGTATAGAGAAAGAACTTATAAATAATATTTAGTAGGTATCTATCTATAGGGATGTAGAGTGCACAAATTGAACTCAGTTTGTTGATCTGTGTGTGAAAAGAAAGAAATATTGCTTAATGTCTTTTTACTAGATTCTACTTATGTATCAGTGAAATCTTGTCACTTTCTTTTGATTCGTGGAAGAGTATCTGAGCTATTAGAGTTATTATATAACAGACAGGCAGCGTTTGTTAGTACTTAATTTTCTGAATTAGAACAGTTTAGAAATGGTTTTATGCCTTTTTCTTTGATGTATATGTTCTATTAGTTGGCAGTAAGAACGAACGTGCTACTCAGGCTATTAATTAGATTATCCAATGATCAAAAAAAACTTTACCCAATAAAAATTCAGTTTTTAAACTTAATTTATTTTTAGATTAATGCTTCTTTTAATTATCTTAGCATTATCAATCTTAAATCCAGTCTAAAATGATATTACGATTTTGTTCTCAAATGCTTTAATTAGCAGAACAACAGACATGAATAATCGAGTAGACCAACCGTTAGAATATTCTAGTTCAACAATCAATAACAATAGTTCAGTACCTTCAACCACAGTGATAACATCACAAAAACAACTATCAAATGCTAATCTGCAAGGATCTGATACAAAATTTCAAATAAGTCCCGGTACAATACAGAATGATGAGACGATGGGTGCTGTCGATGACAGTAATAATCCCGGGCGTTTTCAAATGATAAGAGTCGATAGAAGTTTTGGTCGAGGTCGATGGAAGATAAATGACTATGAACCGCCGGCAGATTTGAATGACAGTGACGGTGTTAATACAATAAGTTTTCCCGTATCATTAACGAATAATGACGGAAAAATAACCATGCCATCGTTACCTCTCACAACCAGTACAACAACAACGTCAAATGTCGATAACACAACAATGACTACTGCCGCTGCGGCCGCGTAGGTTTTCCGATCAAATACATCGCTACAATTTTGCTTTTCTCCTTCAGTTTGACGTATACTAACTCGGTTATTAATTCACACTAATTTTCTATTTTTTAGTGCAGCAGCAGCTGTCGCAGCCTCTCAAAGATTGTCAGCTACTCAGGCCGCTGCCAATATGCCACCACCCGGTTTAATGTATTCACCGTCATTAGCAATTCCAAATATTCAAAATCAATCACTTTTTGTACCAAATCTAACATATTTTCCACCAGGATTTGGAAGTTTTTATCCTCATCCACAATATCCATTCCCAACTCCACAATATGCTCAATGGGTAGCTGCGATGGCTGCTAGTCAGGCTCAAATGGGTTTAAATCCATCCACGTCAATGCCGCCCTATTTATCTCTTCCATCAACTGCTAATCTAAACGATAATATTCGGCAACATTTAGACGCCAATTATACTGGTAAGTTTGTCGTTCGACGTATGAATACGAGCATGCTTTTCATAAATACTGCATTGCTGCGTTACAAAAATGCCATGTTATGTAAGTCTATTATTTATTTTTTCCATGACTTAGGTCCTGACCATAATGGTGATGTTTCATCAAATAATTTATATAGTACCAGTGATGCCATAAGTAATTCTCAATTAGCGCAATATCTATTTGGGCAACAGTTTCCGTCATCAGTTCAAAATCAATATTCATCATTTTCACACCACCACCCCCACCATCATCAACAACAACAACAATCACTTGTCTCTGAACTACTACAACAGCAGCAGCAACAACAACAACAACAACAATCACTTCTGTCTGAACTACTACAGCAGCAGCAGCAACAACAACAACAACAATCACTTGTCTCCGAACTACTACAGCAACAACAAAAACAAATTGCTTCGGAACAAACAAAGCCATTACTAACATCACCATCTAAAAAGGAAAACGATAATCAACAACAAAATAATTTAACAAACGCGAATCAAATTTCAGTGATAAAAAATCCGATTCAATCATTACCAGTGACAACGCATGATTTGAAAACAATCGGTCAGACTATCGATAAATCTATATCAGACATTCCACCGAAATTAACGAACGAATCAATAGGAAAATCCCAAGATTCAAACACATCCAGTAGTGTAATGACATCACCAATGACTACCACGCCTCAACATATTCTTTCACCTATTATACCACAGTTTCGACCACCACAAAACGTTACACCGACAACTTTAAACAATATTTGGAATATGACGACAACACCGTTAAACCTATCACAAACAGCTCAAACAGCAGCCGCTACAGCTGCTGTGGCCATGGAATTGCTAAATGTTGGTACTGGGAATGAAAGCAAAAATCAAGAAATAGCAAATGAAATATTAAAAGAATTAACCACACCAACTAAGCAGCACAAGTAAGAACTTTGTTCTTTTTTATACAAAAATGAAAATAGTCTGTGAACGTCATTCCTCTTTCATTCAGATTGATTCGTCAGCTAAGGTATTTATTTGATTTTTTGAAGATCTGATATTGAATTAATTAATTTGCTTGATCAATTTTAAGTAAACAGCCTTTCTTTTCTTTTGAAGCGGCTTAGTTCGGGATTTGATATTCTATGATTTATAGAAAAACTAAGGTATTTCTTCTACTAGTGATGCGTTTCAGAATAAGAAGTGTTAATCGTTTTTGGAAAAAGCATGTTGTCGGCATACACATTGTTTATGTTTTACACAGCTGGAAATTCCGAGAAGGCAAGCGTTCTAAAAGAATTTATCAACTTCTGTAAGCTTGCATAGGTAAACTTCTAGCCTCTCTTTTTATTCGTTATATCTCGCACATAACTCATTTTCATTTCTTTCACATAGCGCATCGCATCGTATCTCTTTAACTCTTTCTCACTCATTGCATATACAGAAACTAAAAAAAGATATAATTTGACCATAGCCACTGTGTCCTCAATTTTTCTAAAACAATGAAGTCAATTTTGAATGGGCGGTACCTCTATGGTCTTCTCTTTGGATAAAATACTGAATGTAAATTGCTATTGATCTATTTGAAATATTGTCTAAAATTGAGAATAAATTGAGAGTAAGATATGTGCTTTATAGTGAAACAAGTCATTGAATGTTTTTACTAACTTCTACTGCCACCAATATATCTTTATATGAAATATTGCTAACTCATGTGTTCAAGTATGTATAGGTTACTGTACTCAAGTTTAAATATAAAATAAAAGAGATTTTTCAATCGCAGTTATATCGGCTTCCTGGCATGAAAATTAATCAATATCATTTAGTTGGATTTATCTATACATAATCTATAAGCTTTCTCACCGCACTTCAGGATACTTTCACGCAGATTCTTCTACTTTTTACACAAGCGAAAGTCAACACGATCTCATTATGTCCATGCTATGCTGTAAAGCTCGTTGAGTTATGTGTTAACAATACACAGTTTATTTTCAGAAAAACATGTGTCGAGTTTGATTAAAAAATCTACTGTTCAATCATGCACTTGAGAAAAAATTGCTTGAAAAATTGTATTTTAGATATTTCTCGGTTATAACCTAAAACCGACTCTGAATGATGGATGGTTTAAAATCTTCTATTTTCTGCTGAATTTATTTTGTACTATATATCTCAAGTTCGAAGTTCATAAATGAATCTCGCTCATGATCAAAAGCTTGACTCTCAGATTCTAATTCAATGTCAAAAGTTACCAAGTGAGTGTCAAGTAAGTTACATGAATATAAAATTGATACTTCTAAAACGAGAGAAAACCATAGAATATAATCACAAGTTTTACAGCATTGCATGGACAGTAAGATCGTGTCGACTGTCGCTGGTGTAAAAAGTAGAAAGAATCTGCGTGAATCTATTCCGAAGTTGTTCGAACACTGTTTTAATTTATTTATATATATATAATTATTCAGTTCTCTTTATTATATTCTTTCCTTATTCTCAATAAAGTTTAAACTAACTAATATTTTGTTTTCTTTTATAGTACGACTGATATTGACAACAAGATTTCAGCCGCAATGGTATGTTTACAAAGCTGTTTAATCTGATGAAGTACATTTACTGCATCAGAAAGAGCATTGGTGCTTCTAAAAAGTTAAAAACCAAGGCTAGTTTGTATGCGTTTTATTTAGGATTTAGTCAAAATGCATTTATTATCTGCTGTACGAGAAGAAGTTGTCGATTTACGTCAACAAATAAAAACATTAAATGAAAAAATATCTTTATGTGAACTTGAGCGTGACTATCTTCGTCAACATGTTCCGAGTGAAATTTTAGCTCAGTTTAATCCTACAATCAATGCTAATTCTACTAATAATAACAGCAACATAGACGGTACCGTGTCTTCAAATATGATGACAACTACAGCAAATTCAATCATTGCTCCCATTGCGAACAGTATTATCACACCTACTAGTCAACTTCTTTCTTTACCCTCATCTTCAGCAACAGCAACAGCTTCTGCTCCTCTGAATTCAACATTGCAAAACACTTGAATTAAAAAGTTTTTGAAAAAAAATATATTTATTTTGTCGTTTCTTATTGTTTTTTTTTGCTAATAACTATTTGTTTTTCTTTCTGTCTTGCTATAGCTATATGTCATCATGTATCTGTTTAAGCAATATGTATGAACTTCTCAATAATAGACTTTTCTAAAAGGCGAAAACCAGCAAAAACTATTATTGTCTTATGTATTCCTTGTTAAATAAAGAACAGAATATGAGAGAACGACAATAGAAATTTTGATTTTACTTTTTATCTTTGTGGAATATTCAATAAGTTTATTGAACTCGTGGAGTTCGAATAAATTGACTGAATCGACCACATCGATCTATATATTATTGTTTTGGGTTATTGCAGTAAATAGAGATGTAAATGAATAACTAATATTTTTATTTAACATTGCTTGATTTGTGTGAAGGAGATATAATCGCCTATTATAGCTTTCCGTACTTCTGTGTTAAAGGTTTCTGAGTATGTGATTGATCAATAATAGTTGCGCTTAAAATATCTGTTCAGATTGCTCATGAACTGAAGAAGAGCTTTTTGAACAAAAAGTTGTTGATCTGAATGTTAAGTGAAAGTCTTGCTTAATGTTTATGAGTTACATCATCTGATTTTGAAAGAACTAGGACAAACCAATTAAAAGTATTTTCAATGATTCATTTGATTGTTTATTTCAAAACGTTGTGTAAGTAATTGTTATGTATATTTACTATTATAGAGCAAAGAATTGGTTATTCATTCATATGATTATTAAGAAATCTATGGTCATGGCTTACTTGAATCTCTCTATTGATCATTAGTTGATTCTGTATGATGTAATAACTTTTTTTCTAAACTTGCACAACAAATCAAATAATTGCGGTTTTTCGTTCGATAATGTTTACTAAATTTTATAATTCAAAATATACGTCATTTTAATACACTGTGAATGAAAAAATAGCCACGTTGCTTTTAATTTATTACAATTTACTTTCCCGTTTGTGTTTACTCTGAAAATTTGCGTATTTTCCTTGCTTCGAAAGTCTCGGAGCATGGCTAATATAAATCTAGATAACAGTGTCAATTACTATTGTGATTCATTTTATAAAGATTTTCTAGCTATTTAGAAATGTAGAGCAGTAGTGAGACACTTTTCATTAACTAGTGAATATTATTAAAGAACATCATATCATTCGAGCAAAATATGTTCATTAAGGACAAAGATTTTTATAATTTGTATTTCGTAACTATATATTAGTATCTAGCTTATTTTAATGTCATTATGCGAAAAGCAAGTAGACCATAAATATATTTTACCTGATTATGCTTTTATGAAAGCTAAAACGATGTGAAAGTGTTTACTTCGTTATTATCATTTATTTATGATTTCTTTGTCTATTTGACAGACGTCTATTATATGATGTATTTGATAATACTATTATAATAGAAATTTACTTCCCCTAGACATATTACTTCTTTTGTAATTATGGTCTTTGAATATTTGTTTTTTTTCCTTGAATAATTCTTGTTTCATAGTGATTCATTATATGCGTACGTGGAGTTCTACAGTAAAGATTATATAAAGTATTCGATTTTTTATCGTTCATTTTTCAATTTGTATCGTTTTTAAAATTTAAATCTGCGCATTTATAATAGTTGTACAAAAATACAACACATAAACATTCGTATGTGGATTAAAATAAAAATAGAATTTCTTTTACATACATGAAAGCCACTACTCCCTTTTATGTGTTAAAGTGGTTTTGTTTTCGTTTAAATTTACCTTTATTAAAATGACTATAGGATAAAAAAACAAATAGAAACACGGGGAAACCACTAACAAAAAACATACAGCTTTTCAATATCCTTATGAATTTAACACGAAGCTAATAGTTCTCTTTCGAACGTTTAACTAATCTTTTTATCAAGTAAACCTTTACTGTTGTCCGAACTACCTTGAAAGCATTTTCTAACATTCAATAGTGAAAACATAGATTTTCACATGTAAACAAATCTCAAAATGAAAAACTCACTCTAAAATCCAAAAGAAAAACTCAATATTTCTGTCGTAAAATACGTCTGATTGATCAATTTTCTCAATTTTATTAAATATTTAACAAAAAACAACGTATGTAAGAAGACGTTTCTCTCTAAAAAGAAACTTCATGTCATGAGCTTATATTTCTGTAGCTTGGGCACCTGTTCATTTTTTTTTTTTTTATAAATCCTCATGTTTTTGAACTTGTACTCTGACAAGACATTTATCTAAATAAATTGAATGAGTTAGATAAATACATTGATATGGTCAATACATCGATTTTAAAGGTCAATACATTAATTTTAAAAAAAAAAGAATATTTATCTTGAATTAGTATGATATTGACTTTATTCAATTTAATTTTTCTTGCTGTTTAATAAAACGAGTATAAGTGTATGTATGTATGCGTATTTATGTACTTTTTTCTACTGTTTCATCTTTAACCTACAATTTACTATTTTTGTACCACATCTTATTATTTATCATAAAGACAAAAAACTTAAGTCAATCAATCAAGTCTTTAAAAAATGTTTTTAGTTTATACTTTGTTGTTAAACATAAAGTCAGAAGAGTAAAAGATCTTGAGTAATTTCGTTGCAATCACTGATGAGGTGAAGAAAAAGACATCATTTTATTTTTTTTGCGTAAGCATTTCTGAGTAGAAATTATCATTTTTCTTTTGATACAGAGAGACAAAATCTATCACGTATTGAAAATAAATGAGGCTTGTTTTTTTTGTGAACTATGAAAATCCCACGAATAAAATGTGACATTTTCATCTATTACTTTTATTATCGAAAATTGATCTCATCTAGAGTGCATAGGAACAATGATGATGATGTATTGATTGTTTGCCTATCATGTAATTAAATTCAATAAAAACAGATCCGTTTAAATAATGAGAGGCATATTTTATGACGTCGAAAGTTATCATAATTTCTTTTCATTTTAACATGTATGCTGTTACTTTTCATTTTCGTACTCGTAGGTGTTAATGACGGTGTGAGGTTGTGTCAACTCAATAATCTGCCTACATTATTACTACTTTTTTGCATTCTATTAGAGACACAGATGGTCTCAATAGAAGAAATATGCATATATGAAAACGTATGATTTTTTGAGTCTCCTCCGTTCTTTCTCTTCATTGTGATCAATCAAAAAAAAAAAAATTTGTCTTTGTTTATAGACAAAATTATTCATGAAATATCTACAAATGGCACTATAATTTTGTTCTATAGTTTAATATCTTCCAATATTTTTTTGTTTTTTTTTGTTACAAATACTATAACAATTTCTATAGACTAGAACAGAAACGAAAATCAACTTATTTTTTTTTTTTTTTTGATATCCATAAAAGTATGTTGAAAGTACAATTTATCTCTTAAATAAACCTAATCCTTCAGTTGATTCACTTATGATTTTTGTTCATTCAATTCAAATCGTCTTTCTCATGTGTTTTCAGCAAGGTAGTAATAAGCATTGTATTTATCAGCAACAACTTGACCATAATGTTTTACAAACTATTTGATATAGTTACTATGACTCTTTACTCTGTTGTTGTTTTTTGCCATAGATAATTAGTTAGAATAGATTTAAGAAATAAATCAGAATAATATGTCTTGATGATGATGTTGTCTAAAAACAAGTTATAGTTACATGATAGATTTTTTTTATCGATAAAAAAAAAAGAGAAAAAATACATGTTAGAGAAGAAAAAAAAAATATTCTACTTGTGTTAAGAGAAGAAAAGAAAAATTTATGGCTAGTTTCCAAAAAAAAGAAAAAAAAACAAACAATACTACTTCTACTAATTACATAAAACTCTATTGATTTCTGTATATATAATCAACTGACTAATATTCATCGGCGTAGAATATGAATTTGTGAAGCGTGATAAAGTCTGATGCTTCACGCCTTAATAATTTCTCTGAAAAAAAAACATAGGCGTAATCGAAAACGAAATGGAAATATTGCAGAAGTACTACACAGAAATCTGTTAAAACATTTTTATCATTGAAATAGCATTTGTCTTTAATTTTTGATTCATTTAATATTGTATGATACATTCACATTGATTGATGATATTTTTTATTAAATACAATATGGTGGATGAGATACTTTTATTCTCTCTTTTCAAGGGATCAATCTAGAAATTTTAGCCAATATTATGTACACATTTTGATTTCAGTTCGAGATGTCTTGTTTTTTTCTTGTAATTAGAAATGACGTCAATATTTCTAGCGGAAGGACGTTACTCTAAAACTTTTAAAATGAGGGCAAAAACATTTAGTGAATGAGTCACTATCTTTTCATTCACTGACAAGGACTTGTATTGCTTCAAAATAGCTCAAAAATACGTTGACTATGTTAGAATAAACTTTTGTAGAGTATGAAAAAATGCCGAGTAAAATGAAAGAAAATAGTTTGTCTTAGATATCATTAATTTATTGTCTATTTAGTAGAATATTATCCGTAATGAACTACCACCTCGATGTTTATGAAATGTTTTTGTGTTGTCATCTATTAGAAAGAGATACTTCATAGAAAAAAGTAGAATTATGAGGAAGGAAGAACAATAAAGCTGAATTTAACGAATGACCGAGTTCTTCTAAACATTTTTCATTTTTTTCTTTCTGACATGTGTTAGACATATATGTTCTGGAATATTTTGATTTTTCTTTGAAAAACAAGCTCTAGGCTTTAAAAAGATAGTAATTTCTAGAATTTCATCTCTCCGATGATATTTAGAATAAAAGCATAAACTCTTTCGAACAATGAAGAATAACTTCTTTTTCTTTTGTCACTCTCTTCTTCTTTTTATCTTCAAGGTGGTTATTAGAAAAAGTACCTTTAGGGCGCAAAGTATAGATAAATCTTTTTTTTTCGATATGCAAGCTCAGTTAATATTGAAATAAGATGCACCTCATTCTCTCTCTCTCTCGACTACGCATGTTATTGTTTCTTCACAACTATAGAGAAGAATGAGATTTTATGTGAGAGACAGAACGGAGAGATGAAAACTAATTTAAATATTTATTCATTTTTTTTTTTGTGTAAATTAATTTCTGACAAATTGAGAAATGAGAACTCTACTAATAACCTGATCTGACGTATGCCAGACGCCTTCATGTTTTTCCTTCTGTTGTAGCAACTACTTCATTTACATTAAAGATGTTTTGATTATTTCTTTTATAAATGAACTCTTATTTTCTACTTCCTACGCTATATATGACAATGATAAATTATTTTTTTGCATAAAACTTTGTATTAATCCGGAGGTTGTCATGGACAACTGTCATGGACAACCTCCGGATTAAATTAAAAAAAATTTTAATATATCTCATTAGAACTGAATTATGTCAATATAACAAAAAACATATGCTAATTATTCAATAAGATTACATAATGGACAAGTAAAATAGTGACGATGTGAATCATTCTATATATATATATATAAACAAGACAAAATCGTTATCTATAAGTTATGTCAATTATATAAAAATGATGAAATCAACTTAATGTACTTTTAGAGTAGCAAAACAAATGAAAATATCTTTCTGTTTCTGTCTTTTTCAGTTTATATAGTTACTATAGAGATAAGGTTAACAATTTTCAATAACTTATATTAGAAAAATATTCTAATTCTAATAATGAAATGAAAAAGTGTAGCGATAAATATGATATTTTAGATTTTTATAGTGACCTATACTTCAATTAACATAATTTCGTTATTGTTTACTATACTTTAAAAAAATTTATACTTCTCTCAATATAACGGTCTATATTTGATGTATGATATTTGCTAGTAAAATTGTTCATGAATAAAAATATATAAAAAGTCTGCATGAAACTTCTTTAAATTATAGCATTCCATTTGAACAAAGATATGTCTGCCTGTTTTTGACAAGTTTTTTGATCTGTTATTCTAATGTCCTTAAAATGATAAAATATGTTGTTCATACATTTTTTTCGTTACATTTTTTACATCGTGTTATGACGAAACGTTTACTGATATAGTGAAAGAATTTTATCCACGTCATCATATACTTTATATTAAATATACTCAATGCTTTATGTCTTTTTTTTTCTACTTTGTCAACAATATTTATTCTGCTTTTATTTTATTTGACAACTAAATACGTGACCTTCAAAACATTCTATGTGTCTATTTCTGACGCAACGTTTATTTATTTAATGAATAACATAAACACTTATATATAGAGCATAAAATTCTTCATTTTCCTTCATCATTATACGTATATATTTCGGTGTGTAAGGACATCGTTTTATATCAAGTTCGTTTTTGTTTTTTTTTATTTCCGTGTCCTATAGGACAAAGAGGTGAAGTAGAGGGTTAAATATATGAGGGAGTCATCATCACGCTTATCAATAATATTATTATGACGCATAAAGAAAATACAATCACGTTCTTTCGTAAAGATGATGATCAAAATTGTTTTGGTTCTTCCTATACTGTATTTTTTTATTTTTTTATTTTTTGTTTTTTGTTTCTATATCGACGTAGGTTTACGCAAAGAGGAAGAAAGGCTTTCTTCTTATTGAGAAAAGAGAGAATAGCGGAGACTTAATTTTTGTCTCGATTTTTTTCTTTTTTTGTATTCTAGAACAACCGTTCCTCTTATTTTTCTCTCCCTCATATTTTCTTCTTCCGTGAATTGATTAATATTCTCCTATAGTTACTATCTCTCGTTCTCTCTCTAACTATATATATATATATATATATATTATACATATAAAATTTCTATTAGATATTTTGAGAAAAAATAAGAAAAAAAGAAACTTTTTTAGTCCGATATAGCATATTTGTTTGATATAGATATATATATATAAACACATTCGATATTTTTCAGTGCATTCTACACAAACTATTACTACTACTCCTGCTCAGTAGATTATACAATATATATTTTGTGAAACTCTTTGGACGTAAATAAAACATGAAGCAAGAAATCAACGCTGCTCTTGATCTCATCGTCTCTTATGTACAACGTTTTGGTAAAGTTAAAGAAACGAATTTAAATGAATTTCGGACAAATCTTGAAAAATCACTATTGGAAAAATATGAAGGACATTGGTATATTGGTAAGTAGCCTTTGTTATTCCAATAATACTGCTCTTAACTTTATCTGCGTACATAGTTTAATTATTGTTTATTTGTTTTTTTTCTAGAAAAGCCTATGCGTGGACAAGCATATCGTTCATTAGTATTTACGAAAAAAAATGAATGTGATCCGATTGTTACTCAAGCATGTGAAAAAGCCGCATTCAATTCAATTTTACTTGGAATTCAACATGATATTACAATTTGGGTAGATCCAAAAGAAGTAACAATCAGGTAGGTGAAATTAGTCGTTGTAATGTTAACTTATAGTTCAATTAGTCATTTTACGACATTAGAGACAACGGTTCATTTTGCGTACAAAAATATTTTGTACTAGGACTCTGTGCAAACTTAATACAGATAGATTAGTGCAATCTCAGTTTATATGGTACATGCGTAGCTCTGATTGGTACGGTTATGTAAATGTCAGTGCATTGATGACAAATGACGTAGCACGTGAGAAGTAAAGAACTTTCTTTTTGCGTATTTTCTATACTAGAAGAAAAAGTAGAATGATAAAAAACGAGAAAGATATGACGCTATTAATGATGGGAAAAACGCGATCATACGGAATTTTTTTGTTTTGTTTCTCGTTCTACGCATATTTTTTTTTCTGTTCTGTCATTGCAAGTGTTTCGTAATCACCGTTTTATCGACGCAAAATACGTGTAGGGGGAAGGATCATCATGCGTTGCTAATATTATGCGCGTTTCCATGCCGTTTGTTTTTATGTTTCTTTTAAAAACATACAGATTGCGTGAGAGACATACAAGGGGTCATCTTGACTGTTCAAATGTTGTCTCTATGGAATTATGACTTTTGAATGTTCAGCATTTTACTACTTATCTCCTACTTTAGGTCATTTTGATCTACACTTTGTACAAGGAGCCAAAATTTTCAACGACATAATCTGAGATGTCTTCTCGAAAATAAGACCTCATCAGTTCTTAGAACCGTTCGAGATGAATTTTTAGGAGATATACAAGAAACATAATATTACATATGGCTTTTTACATTTTTAAAAATATCGCAGGTTCAATAAATGAAGGATTTACTAAATTATTACCTAAAAAAGTGTTTTCATAACATTTTATATTTCTGATGTTTTTGGCTAAAATAAAAATTTTTGAAAAGCAAAAAAACCCTCTTAATCGAACAAGAAGAGAGGAGTCTATAGCAAAGAGATATTTTTTCGTAAGAAAAACGAACAAAACTTGTTTTTTTTTTAAGTACAAAAAAATTGAAGTTATTTTTAATGTCTATAATGAACACGACATGGTGTTAGATAGTTCTTGTCTAAATCATCTTTTAGATATCAAATTTCGTTTGGAAGCATGATTTTCAGACTTCCAAGCTACCTTTTTTTAATTGAGAGAAGACGATAACCAAAATAAATTATTTTGTTAAGTTTTCATATCTATAGTTTGTGCAAAAAAAGTGACTACGTTATACTATAAGATCAGAAATTGACGGAAGTATAAGAGATACAAAGTAATGACCATATGCAAAAAAAGATTACGTTGAAATTTTAAGCAAGGATTCAGGCAACTTCAAATTGATTAATAGTTTTGGAATAATTGAGAAATAAATCTATAATATTTTTCTTTTTTTCATATTTATAGACTTGGTAACCATCCATATTTAAAAGATGGACAACAAATGTTAGTTGCTCGATTCGATAATGAAGGCAATGAATTAGTTCGAAATGATCTCGATACACTATTTAATAGTGACATAGCAACACTGCCCACTATTACTACAACAGCAAGCAGTAATCAAAAACACACGTCATCTTCATCATCGTCTTCTGCGTCCGATTCATCTCAACCATGTTCTGGCTCATCAACACCACAACGTACATCTTCTCCATATACAATGCCAACAATGTATCATAATCTACCATTATTTACACCACCTCGAACACTATCACCACAAACAACGGCAATACCCACAGCCACACATTATTCACCAAACAATCAACAATATTTAAATTCCTATGTCTCACTACAACAAGTTCAATATAATGGTGCAAATCATACATATTCGTCGATGCCAATATCTGTACCATCACCGGTGATGACTATCGATACATCCTCTCCATCTTATGGTAGTCCAATAGAAGTTGAACGTTCGGATACACCGCATTCACATCATAGTACGGCGTCTAATGATAGTACGGATTCTGGTTATTGTGGTTACGTTGAAAGTTTTCCATATTATTATAAACTAAATCGTTTATATAAAGCTTTGGCCGTTCAAAAGTATGCCGGTATACACATGAAACAACCAACACATCCTAATCGACGACCATACAATGGACAAGTACCATTCACATCAACCGTAACTCCCCCATTGTCAACAACACCTCCAACACCAACACCTCAGTTTACTATGAATCCCCAACAAACATCATTTGTTCCGATAATAAATTATCCTCATCAACATCAACAACGAGAATTAATTATCGGACACAAAACCAAACACTAAATTAAGTTAGTCATCATAGTCGAAACCGGTGATTCTTTCTTCAGTTTTCTTCTTTAGTAGCCTAGTTATTATCGCCGTATAATAGTATGCCTCTCTCTCTCTCTCTTTCAATCTTTTTCATATTCAGCAAGAACAACAACGGGATAGTTCGATTTGAAACACATCAAATATAAAGTTGGAGTTATTAATAACCCGGTGATATTTTTTAGTTGAATAAACTTCCGGTGTATAGTTTCTTCTCTGTTAAATCATAGTTATTACTATCTTTCTCCAAGTGTAGGATAGTTTGTGTGTTTCTAAACGTGTTATTGCTACAAATTTACGTTTTTCGTTTTTCTAGCAGATGTATTTGGTTTTATTTTAACAGAGTGGATTTGCCTTCTTTTGAGACAGTCTATTCTCAATCCAGACGTTTCTGTTTTTTTTCATTTTACACCATAGTACACACCCTTTCGACGTATATAGAACTATACATCCCTCCCATAAGCAATGCGATATATTGGAGCCTCAAATTCAGATAAGCCGCTCTGTAATTATGTACATATACATATTTATTTGTTTGTATATATTTATATTTTTTAGTAGCTTTGCTGAGAAAATCTGTCTTTCTCTTTCGCACGATGATTCATCATTCCGTTTATATCTGTTATATTTATTTGGCTTTATTTATATGCGATCTCTTCTCTAAGTCATAGACAAATAGACGCACGTGCTGAAAAGTCTGCTGGCAGAGCAAAACGATTGTTGGTTGTTTTATTTTTGTTTTTTTGATACTATGTATGCGAGAAATATATATATATCTATTTATTTATTTTTCTGTAGGCTAGAATAAAGCAAAAATTCAGTTCGTTTTTGTGGATATGTTGAAAGCAGTGAAATTTATCAATTCTGTTTGCCTGTTTCGTTTTAAAAGAGATATATGCGTGTGTGATCTTCTATTTTTTTTAAGGTATCGTATTTTTTTGTTAAACACAATCAAAGTGTATAGTGAACCGTAGAGAGTACAACAGTGATGTCTTTCTTCTGTATCCGAGTGATAAATTTGTTGTCTGACATTCGAGAAATAAGATTCCATTTTAATTTATCTGCAAATAAACACATTGTCGCGTTTTTTGCCTATTCTTTAGTTATGTATCATGAAAAACAGTGAACTTTTTTTTGTTTTTGGTGATGTATATTCTTTATTTCAATCATGACCATGACAAACTATACGATGATATTTTTTTGTTTGTACGTGAGTGTGTCTGTTCCGTTTTGTTTAGTTTTTTTTTTGTAGAAAAAGTTCGAGAGTTGTAAAACGTGATAGATTATATTATCACAGACTGTGTTTATGACGACTAAAATATATATGATGAAAGAAAAAAAAGGAAGCTCTACTACTAATCAAACACAACTAATAAACGTCATATGTTTGTACAAAACAACTACGCGTTAAAAGAAAAAACGCAGTCTATTTTAGGTACTGCAAACCTTGGATGAGAAGTTTATTGTTTTAAAAAAAATAAAATGACAGTTTACTTTTAATAAGCTGACGTTTTATTTTTTTTGTTAAAAGAGGTCTGATTATAACATCTATCAGGCAGTTATACACGAAATTTGTTGGAGTAAGAAAGGTGTTCATTATAGATAAATCATTTTTATGAAAACCAAAATCATAAAATAAAAGGATGAAGTTTGAGGTCTAAAGGTGGGAAATGGTTTGAAAATGGAGATTTTCCAACACCGTTGTACTCTCCGCTTCCACTGGCAGGCACAAACTCTTAAAATGGCGCACACATACTCTTACAGTTTGAACAGCTGATAGATATCGCTCTTACATCCATTATGGTAACTCTTAGAATAGTAGTCGGATATTTTCAATTTCTAAGCTAGACGTCTATATGCATGTATTTCAATTAATGTCAACATTTTTTCTGAATATTCTTGCATGTATGAAAGGGTTGATGAAATGGTGAAACTTTAGAACAATACTCATCTTCGCTTCATAGCAGCTTTATACTTTCCGTTAAAGTTTGTTGAAACAACAAATAGAACTGGTCCTGGAATAAGGTCTTGCGTATGAGTCTGAGTGATAAAAATTTCAATCCGATCGGTTGAACCCAGATCAACGAAATTGACATTTAATAACTTATCTCTAGCCTGTTAACTGTATAACGAAAACATTGACTTTTAGTCGACTAAAAACTGGCAAAAAACAGTCTGTACACCGTTGTACCCTCCGCTTCCACTAGCAGGCACAAACTCTTAAAACGGCGCACACATACTCTTACAGTTTGAACAGCTGATAAAAAAACAGTCTCACGGTTTTTTGCCTTTTACTTTTATTCCACCGTGAATCATGGCCTAAAAACATATTTAATTGTATGCACTTAAATAAAATTCACATGAGTCGTTAACTGTCTGTTAGTATGTCGTTTTGGAACAGGTAAAATATCAGATAAAAAACTAGCATTATGATTAATGTCCGTAGCAAATGTTAGTTCTTAACCATTTGTGACTAAACAATGATTTCACCTTTTTGTTTCACCATTATGAGTAATATAAATAAAACGCTGACTCTCTTGAGAAAATTTCGAACTTTTCTCTTCTTCGATTATACAAGTCATCGAAACTTGTCGTGAGGAAGTAGCCTCCGTTTCTGGTACTGATACCAGTGGTAAAAATATTGAAATTTGTGAGGTTACTAACCAGATAAAAAGCTGACTTTGGAAAATGTTCAAACAATGGATTGTTAGCAGCGCCTGATTGTGCAATAATGGCCTTAAAACGAGCATCATAAAAATTTTATGATGGCGCATGCTCGTTTTAAGACCATTATTGCTTATGGACATTTGTTTTAGTCGCTATAAAATTATCACTTTTAGGCATTAAAATGTTCTCAGTTTGAATACATAAAAACGGTCAAAAAATTACCTCAATGATCTAAAAATGTTTATTTAACAAATATTGAATGGGTTATAAATGGGTGTTTAACAGACAATTAACCACACCGTTAAGTGTGATCAACTTTTAGGATGGCACATAGTCACCAAAAATTCAGCTGCAACGTTTAATAATGAAGGATTTTTGAACGGACAGACATGTAGTTTTCAGCAGGGTTTTTAATAATTCAGGAGTCAGAAAAAAATCATCCAGTAAATTTCACTTTAACAGTAATCGCAGTTTACATAAATTGTTTCATTCGGCGAGTTCATCCTCTAGTCGACTTTGCCGGTAACAAAACAACGTAGCACTTTATCGAAATTTGAGGCATTGAAACTTGCCTTGAAAAAGTAGCTAATGAATCTCAATCTGGTTCGAAGGTAGAATCTGGATCACCAGATTAATACTTGTAAAAGAAAGTTAAATTATCTATGAAAAAATTAGTTTAACACAAACTTTGAAAATTATTCGTCTAGTATGAACTTCGTTTTCCTGTCGAAATTGAAAAAATCAAACTAACTAGTCAAAATACCCACTAGTCTGAAAATGGCACTTTGACTAGTGAAATTTTAAACTTCGACTAGAGGGAAAGTTGAATTTTTCGAACTAAAATAAATCAACTTATTCAAAGGCTGTTAACTAATCTTATTTATATACAATTATTGTTATCTCACATCGAAATTACTCATATTTTGTCATCTCTTTGCTGAAGCTTAATAACGGTTTGGTTTTTAATTATCATAAATGTCTAATTCAATCAAAAAATGTAGTGTGTCCGTCTGTTTCGTTATTTTATTCTTACTTCAGTATTGCGAGATAAAATGAGACCATGATTACCGGCATTTTGCAATAAAGGATGTTACTGCGGTAAGGCGGAAAATTAATGTGAAAGTTAAATAGATGAAACAAGACTTGTGTAAATGTATATTAATGAATGGTAGAAAATTTGTATGGTTTCGATTAATTCGACTTTGATTATTAGATATGTCAGGTTCGTCTGTGTGATAACTTTGTTTCCGTTTTCAGTTGTTGCAATTGTTTTCATTTCCACCATGTCTGTTTGTTCCGTCATTGAATTATTCTAACTGCGACTATGCCATGTCAATTAAAAGTGTACACGCAAGATCATGATGATAGAAAGCGTTAAATTTTGTCATGCGGTTAATCAATTTTTTCAACCGAAATCCGTAGACCATTAATGCAGCTTTTTATTTCTCTATAGTGGTATTATTTCAGGTTTATTTTATCTTGTTAGGCGACTCTTTGTCTAAAATCAGTGAAATTGAGCATAGTATATTTTGAGTAAAAACATATCGCTGTCGTTCGTCGAGTTCTCTCTGTTTGAACAAAACAAAGATAGACAACAGTCAAGCACAATATCGACCGTTTGTTATTTTAAAGACAAACGAATAGTGCGTTTGTCACAGGCATAAAACAAAACTCAATCATAGTTGAAATCAGTCGAAGCGTCATCAAAATTTTATTTCTAGTCGTACTTGAAAATAGTGGTATCTGCAAAGATTGGCATCATTTACGCCTAGACATATTTCGAACACGTCCGTACTTATTTCAAATACGACTAGGCGCAGAGAAAAATAAGGAATACGGTTCTATACGGTTGAACTCACTTAAATAAATAAAATTCAAATTAGCAGGAATATATTTAATTATTTATTTATTGTTTATTTTATATTTATTCATTTTTAAATAGTTTGTCTTTTTCTTCTTTCTCAGTTAGTATCTTGTTTTTTATTTATTTACTGCTTGGCAGTGGTCACCGCGTTACAGATCGGGAATCTCTGGTGATTTCTTACTTTATGTGAATAAATAAAATCATTCATTCTTTCATTTTGTATTCATATTGTATTGTACACTAATTAATGTAACTAAATCCTTTTCTCTCTCTCTTATTATAAAATCTTACGACGGCCATCGTTTGATTTCTGACCACTTAATATTCACTTTTCTGTTGTGATAGGTTTATTTTTTACCAATAGAAGGTTCAAGGAGAAACGTAAGAAATGTTTTAAAAGATCTGAATAGAACTGTTGCTTGGTTTAGGTAAAAAGAACACTAGGTACGGTAAAACAGGGTTAGAAATATATGATTCTATACTTTTAGCATAACTTTTTTTGTATAGTGCACAATAAAATCAATTTTTATTTTAGTTAAACTTGGAAATATTTTTCATTTTTAATGCAGTTACTTTACTTGTCTTTATTCTCTGCATCATTTTGTTTTGATATTTTCTACATAATTTCGTTATTTGAAACTCAAATAAGTATTTGACCTTAGTTAGCATTGCTAAACCACAGAAGATAAATATTTTTACCGACTAGAGAGACGTATGATTCAGATTTGGTTAACGATCCACTTTTTCTGCTTGATTTTTGTCCTTGAGTTAAGACTTATTTTATAAAGTTTTTATTTTTCTGTTGAATTGGTTGCTCATTATACTCTAGAGATAGCCTATAGTATTCTGTCAACTCTGCGGGAAATTGACAATCTTTGTTCGATGATCTCTTCTTCTTTTTAGATGGATCCATCAATTGATCATTTAGAAAAGCTAAAATCTATTTGTGCTAAATTAAAAAAAGGTTTACTTCCGTTACGTCGTCCAAAGTATGCTGAAGCAGCCAATGATTTTCAATCATTAGCTAAACAATTTTTATCGGAAAATTGTTTAGAATACAGTGCACTATGCTATCTACAAGCATCAAAATGTTTTCAAGAATTAAAATCATCGACGAGTGAATTACAAACGTTATTAGAAGCTGCACATTTATTTCTTGTACTTGAATTACAAACATTTGAATCAAATACATTATCGTATAATGAAAATTTATCTTTAGCATTGAGTACATATCAAATGGCACAAAAAAATTTACATGAACAAAATGAACGTTATTTATCCGGTTTAATATCATTGCAAATAGCCGATTTTCTTATAAAATTATCTCGAGAACATGAAGCAGAACGTTTATATAATATGACATTAGATTCATTCAAAGATATGACAATGATTTATATTATTATTCTCCAACATTTACTAAATATCAGGATAGAAAATAATGATCATGTACTAGCGTTAAACACATGCACTCAAATAATTGAACGTTTAATGGGTAGTACAACTACTACCACAAAGACATCCACTTCCACCATCAAAAGTGAAGTAAAACAATTACCAACAGATGTGCCCCAATTATCTACGTTGAGAGCGAGCGATCGTTTATTACTCGGAAAATGTGATGTCACACGGTTGTTATTACTGTTAATCTTAAAGCCTCATCCCCAACGTTTACGTTCAGATTATGCTAAAGTTCTCAATCAATATACATGGGATTCATATGAACAAACAACACCACCAACATCATTTATTGATGAAAAATTATTTTTTCTTTTACAATCATTAACATTAGCTGTACAAGCGCATGATCTAGAAAATATTGAATTATTGGAAAAAGATTTTTTAAAGTTAAACACGTTAGATTCGATACAAATACGTTTATTCTATTCATTAAAACAGGGAATGAAAGGACATTATATTGACTCGTTGAAATTTGATCAACAATTTCATGTTTCGACTTATCGACCATCGTAAACGTTTTTTTCTTACTACTGTTGTTTTTTTATTTTTTTTGTATTTATTATCAAAATTTTCGTGATTATTATTATTTTTTGAAACGTTGTACTTCTACAGTCAATTAGAAAAATTTGTCGATTTTATGCTTTTGCATGAGACTTTCCTGCGTTTAGTAGTAAAATGTAGGCTTTTCTTTTCGGTTACAAGAGTGCACAGATAGAAGGAATTTTATAAATGTATTCCATTTTAGATTCATATAAAAAAACATCCGGTGTTATGCTTGTTTTTTTATAGTTTCTTCTTTATTATTACCCTTATAAATATGTCGAACGTTAGTCACACACCGTTAGGTATGGAGACATTCTTTTAATAGAAAAATAATCTTTTTTGTTTGTTTATTTGTTAATGATTTTAGGATCACCACAGCAAATATTTATTTGTCATTTCTGTTTTGAAGAATTTCATCAAAAATATGAATTAACACAACATTTTCAAAGTCAAAATTGTAGCAAAAAGTCATTAGTTGTTGAAACATTGTTAAATGATGATCTTGGTACTGAGCAAATGAAAAAAGATCCAAATACATCTAATCAATCAGTAATAGTATTGAACGATTCTTTGTGTGCCGATGTTGATTATAAGGGATTAGAACTATTAAATGGTAAAGTATAAATTTCGTCTCATTGTCTACAATTTTCTAATCGATGTTTATTTTTCTTCTCAGCACTCAAATTAAATCGATTAAGTGACTTGGATGATTCACAACAACATTTACTACAAAATCAAGATATCATCATTGATGTCGATAGTCATTTTCAGATAGATATTAATGATGAAACACATGTTTCATCATTGAAAGAAATTCAAAATTCATTTCATATATCTCCACGATACAACGAACATCAAGCAACTGATAGTCTTACAGGAAATGATGAAAACTCATGGTGTCCATCTATTCCATTTTCTTGTAAACATAGTCGTCGTTTATTAGACATGCGTAATCATCAGTTATCATCAATTTTTTTGGATGATATTATTGATCAACCAATGTGCAATTCAGACGTAGACGATACCTCCGATCCTAGCCGTACCACGGAACTTCTCACTTCACATCCGTGTAACATATCAATAAATAGTAAAATCCCGTTACATATATATAAATATTCACGTTATGAGCGTAAATTGTTTTACAAAAGTGTTAAAAAAGTTATATTGAAAAAAAATTTTACGGAATCATCAGCCGGAACATTTTACAGTAAAAATATGTCTCTCGATAATAGTAATAATAATAGTAGTAGTAGTAATAGTAATAATGTCAAAAAGAGAAAACAACAACAATACTCATTAAATATCGTTCATAATAAACCGATTAAATTTCAACGTTTATCTTATCACGAACGTTGTGTAACACGTCGTTCATATCGACAATTAACAACCACTTTTCCACTTTTATTGGATCCATTGTTTTCTACATTTGTGTCGTATGAAAAACGTGATGAAGAGCAGCAAGAGAATGATAATAATGATGATAATAGAAATTATCCAGATAAATCCTATCATTGTTTTTTGAAAAAGTATTCAAACGTTTTAGAAAATAATTTTCATTTATTAAATTTAATTGCTAGTCAAGAATTTCAACTAGTCGTTAGTAGTACACAAGATAATAATCGTCTTTGTCGTCAGAAGAGTCTATTAGATGTATTACGACAATATTTATATGCTCATTCTGCTATTGAGACTGTTGATAATGTGAAACGCAGTTTCTTAATTAAAAACAATGATAATACTGATGACACAACATCAACTGCGAATAACAATAGTTTATTCGTTCCCCCACTCAAAATTAGACGGTATAATTCTCAAATATTATCAAATAGCCACCCTCATCAAGGCAAACAAAAACATGTATCAACTTCATTATCGACAATGAATGATCAACAAGTAAGTCTTAGTACTGCAATTGTAATAAATGTTTTTTTTGGATTACTTTCTTCTTTTCTACGAGTCTTGCTAGTAGTGAATAGTAACTGTTGTACCTTAGAGTAATTGTACATTCAGTATGATCGCTGTTCATTAAATTTTATTTTTATTTTGCAGCAAAGAAATGGTAGTCTTCTCAGTGTTGGGAGAAATAGTCGTTCAACATCACCAGCTCATTCATCGAGTTCAAACAGTTCATCAATTAATTCTTCATCCAGATCATCAGGAACATCGGGTGAATTTCATATAAATAAACGTTTTGCATCCACATTCTCTAATTCTCGACGTGGCATTAGACAACGGCGATTAGCACCGAAAGCAGCAGCACTTCTTGAACAAAAACAAAGTCGGGAAATGGACGACATATCACCGTCAAAACTCAATCAAACTTCAACAACCGCTATGTTACCATTAACTATCCGTCGATCGCCATCTGGTAATTTTTATTATGATAAATCGATACCATTGTCATCTGTCCCTTCAACAATAAGTAATAATAGTTCACAAGAGCAAGTAATTGAGCCAATAATTCAGTCCAATTCATTTAATGGCAAAACAAATTCATCCGAAGAACAAGCAAAAGAGTGAGTATAATAGATCTTTTATATTCAGAAAGACATGTTATTGTTTTTCCTTATAGACGAGTGGAAAATCTAACAAATTCAATATCGTTATCGGATTATGATTTGTTTCCCGCCCCAGAGTATAAAAATACTCTAATTTCACCGTCTACATCCATCTCTCCCACAACTTCTCAAACACCGACTGAAATTCTTCCAACGACTGTCGTCAATCGAGAACCAATTCCCAAACTTCGAATTGTTTCATCTGCAACTACGAACGGTCTAAGTGCTACAATTGTTCCACAATTGTCAAAAAATAATAAGACAAGTAATAATGAGTGTGCCGTTGATCAAAATAATAGCGAAAAAGATGAAAATCATAGTAAAGACAAACAAAAGAATAAAAAAACAAAGTTTGTTAAATCAACAGTTAAAAAAACAACCGAACGAACACATTTAAATCGTCCATTTAAACAGCAGCAACAACGAACGAGAGAAACATCAGAAACATGTGTGGAACAATTTTCAATTAAAAATACTGATGACTATTCAGAAATATCTATTGTACCAAAACCATTACGTTCAACATCGTTAGAAATTGCTCATGGTTGGTTGTCAAATAATGTTTTTTCAAAATGTCACGTATGTGGCGAAGAAGATTGGTATGTAACAACATCAACAGAATGTATGCGTTTACATATATCATCGAAACATGCAAATTTGGAAGATAATTTTAAACGTCGTTTATCAAATTATACAAATCGTCATCAACGACATTTAAGAATATTTCAACATCATTTAAAATATCAACAATGTTGGAGTGAGGAACAAATAACAAATATATTTCAAATAGCTGATTTACAAACAACACCACAAATAAATACATCAATATTAAATGAATGTGATTATAATACAACAAGACGACTATGCCGGTCACACATCGAGTCTACAAGCAATTCTTAAGCATCTATTTGCGATATCTTTTTTTTAGTAAAATAATGAATCTGTTTCATTTCGTTAGCTAGCAATATTCAAGTCTACGATTTGATTTTTATCTTTTTCTATGTCATTGTAGAATGATCTGTGTATGTATGTATGTATATGTGTCTGTTTTTCTTGTTTTCATGTTGAATTTTTATGTTGTTTTTTTTAATATTTCGTGCATATAAAACGCTATTGTAAATGATTTGCAATTTATCGCATATGTTAAATACGGTCAATCAAACTTTCTGGGATTAGTAGTAATTAGTGCTCAATTTTTCTGTCTATCTGTCGTATATGAAACTGTTTTTCAACTATTTTCTCTAATTTCTTTTCATTATCTGGGCTATTAATTTTATTGGTGAATTCTGACTTACATTATCATAGTACATAACTATGATTTATCTATACATTTATACATAGTGCATGATATTCTAAGTTTTCTTCTTTTTTTTTCTTTTCTTATCATTGTGTGGCAATAAGTGGTGTTTCCTTTTAAAAGATGTAAAAAACAGATGTTGTATTTTGTGCTCAATGTTTTATCGTTAGATATTTTGTGTATCGTTGTATTTGTCCAATTGTTCAACTAATAATAATAATCATCTTTTGTTAAAATATCTTTTTTTTCATATTCGACATTTCATTTATCGAGATGCAATCCAGCGAGAAATATTGTTGGGTACTCTTTCTAATTATCAGGTCCCAAAGACATTTTCCTATTGATTTTCGTACGATGAATGCAGTTTAATCTAAGAATGTCATAGAGCGTTTAACGACATCTCATTTTGTCCAGAAAAGTTTTTTCTATACGATTCAGTGCAAAAAATCTCCAATTGAACTCAAAGTTTTGGTTTCCTAGAATTCTGGTTTTCTACAGATCTCATATGAAACTTACATATACATTGTTCCCAGTTAAAAACGCGTTCAGCTATTGAAATCATTTTTCAGCTTTGTTCTAGTTATTACGATCAAGCAAAACACTTTAAAAACAAATCTATTTCTATAGTTTTTTACAGGACTATTATACACGTGCTCTCTTCCGTTTCTTTTTCCTTTTTGTTGAATAATGAACCATACTTCGTCTTATTGAAGCGAACAATAAACATATTTGTTTCGACGGAAAACACTTAAGGCTTGACAGATAAACTATTTATCATTTCAAGTTAGCTTGAGAAATTATTCATAAACGATTTTTCAACTAGTTTCGACAAGGATGTACCAATACGTGAATATTTCAACTTGTTATTTTAATTTGATTAACATAATTTGTAAAAAAGAAATGCCAGTGATATCGAAGTGTATCTTAATCTTATTTATTGAAGAGAGTGTCTAGGAATTTGTTTAAAACTCCCTGGTTTACGATATAATTAATGATTTTTATGCTTTTGAAAGAAAGTAATGAGAATAAAAATAAGGTTTCGTGCGCACTTGTTAAATATCAACATACAGTTATTTCTCAGTTAATCTGCTATTCCAAATAAATTTTTATAAATAACGTCAATAGCACTAAACCAGAAAAAGAAAGACCAACTTATTTCCAATCGAGTTAGTTTTTAATGAAAATCAAAAAATTACCTCTTGATTTCTTTTTTATTCTCAGATGTTAATTGACTTCGAATCTGTTTCCAAGCCTTGGTTTCTTGTTGTGCATATGATAAATGTTTTTGTTGTTGTTGTTGTTGCTGATAATGACTCGACGATTGTCTTTTACAAGGAGTGTTATACGTGTGTTTGGATTGTACGGTTGTTGTTACTCTTCCCTCTGAATTTCTTCTCCTCAACAGATAACCATGTGATGAAAGTGATGAGTGATCATTTGATTGATTTGAATTACAATCTGTAATGCATGTTCGATTATTTTTTGTTTTCGTTAATGTTGAAATTTTCATAGTTGAATTTCTCCTCAACTCATGACGACTTTTGGACGGTATATAACGTTTTGTGTACGATATTGGTTCATTACGATATTTTGCTTTCGTTAAATTAGAATTGATAGTAGAAAATTGTGTTTTTTGTGTTTTCCCTAAGCTAGGACAGCATTTTGATCCTTTATAAGGAGCATTTTCTTTTATACTAACTTCGGTTGGTGATCTAAAATTCAACAATCGAACTTATAGAAAAAGATCTGCTTGTATTTTTTCTATGAGAAAGCTTACGTATCGTCATTTTTATTGTTATTACGAGCTATTTGCTCACAATTATGATTGTAGGTATTCATCGATGGTTTAATTAAATTAGTTTGAGAATAAATTTTATTATCAAGTTGATTTTGTAATTGATTCATTTTTGTCTCGTTATTGTTGAGTGCTAGATCACTGTCGCAGTTATCTGCGGGTAGAAACGAACGTGTATCAATCGATGACTGTCGTTTTTGTCGATTATCATTGATAATTTTTTTTTCATGGACAAAATTGTTATCTGTTTCTTGTTCAGGAGTTAATTCTGTTTCATCAATACCATTTGAAAGTATCGTTTCGCTTACATTTCTACGAAGTTCAATGTTAGTTGAATGTTTTTTCTTTGATTCATTGACCATTTGTGGGTCTGATGAAGCTATACGAACGCTCGATTCAATTTGACTTAATAAATTCACTAATGAACGTAAATGTTGTTCATTTTCTTTAAATTGTTCTTGCTGTTTTGCTAGTGAAGATATATGAACAACAGGATCGTCTGTTGATTTTGCTTTAGTTATTTGTTGTTGTGGCTGTTTAGCTAATGTTCGTTGTACTTGTTTAAATGATATATTTGGTCGTTTTTTCATATCTGTCTGAGTATTTGTTAACTGTTGTTGTTTATTTCGTTTTAATATTGTTTGTGTTCGTTTAGGTACTAATGGTTGTTGTTCAGTATCTTCAAATCTCCTTTTGAATATTATTCGTTTATTATTTTCCGCTGAAATAATATTTTGTTTTGTTAAGTTTTCTTTTGATAGTATACGATCACCAGCGTTATATTCTTTTTCTCTTGCACGTAATCCATCTGCCATTCGACGTTCTAAATCTGAACCAAATATTGTGCCAACAATACGAGATAGAAATGGTTTTTTATTTAATTCAACGTTGCAATTTGTTTTTGCTGATGTATCGAATAATAAACTAGTACTCGATATATTATCACGATGTTTTATCGTCTTTTTATTGTTATTTCGATTTACTCGTTTTTTGCTTGTTACTAAACTTTGCTTTTTTCTATTTATTGACGTTGGTGATGTTATTTCTGTTTCATCCTTCGATTTTATACAATGACATTCGAGTTCTTGTTGTTGCAATAGGGCATGTACTAACGTGCAAATATGTTGATCTGTTAATGAATCTTTTATATTAGGTTCTGCCTGGACAGTAGTATTTATTGTTGTTGCTTTTAACAGACGTTTATTTGAAGTTTTGCTAGTATTATTCGACCAATTTTGTTCCCATTCATCATCCCAATCTGTTTCTAATGAATTACATCTATTGTCGTTTAAATCATCACATCTTGAATAGGCAACATCCTCTTCATCATCATCATCAAATTGAATATCTTTATTATCAATCGATAATAGTGAATTAGTTTGTGATACATCACTTCTTATTGACTGAGTTCTATTAGAATAATAACTTGGTACACATGAACGAAAAGCAGATGTCATTTTTGTTATTATGTTGAAAAGAAGATTAAAAATGGTTTAAATTAGACATTAAAGTGGAAACATTAGTTTGAGTTTATTTGTCTACCTAGTGAAGATGAATATTCTGAAAAAAATTTTCGTGTTTACTCAGAGTTACTTAGAGACCCCATTGCAAGCGCGAAGAAACATTTATTAAAATATATTGTGAATACTACATGTGAATAGACGTCTCTTGTAAAACTGTTTAATGTGTTTAAAATTTGTAGAACGAGTATATTTAAACATATGTTCTAATTGTTAAAAAATGATTGTTATTTAACTTGATTGACTTGTGTTCTTTTACCTTTTATCGTTTCTACATTGTATGAAGCGCCTCCTTGTCTATTTCAAAAGAACAGAGGAGTTGAAGTTTATATACGGTCCTATTCTTACAGATATGTTTATATGTGTGGCAATTTTTAAATTAAAAGTTTAGTACTCGTTTAGCTATGATTAGTTTCATTTATTTTTTCCTCTGCCTGGAGCGGCTATTTTTAAAATGTTGGTTTTAAATGTGAATATTTTCCATTTTTGATCATCTAATAAAAGCAAACTCGAAAGTAGTTTCTTCATCATTTCAATTCTGCTTGATGGGGACGGCCAATCAGACATATCATTGCTGAGATATTACGTATTTTGATTTAGTCAAAACGTTTAGCTCGCTCAACTTACTGACATGTTTCATCTGTTCCAGATTATTTTCTTGATTAGCGTTGAAAATCTAAAATCTATTGTCATGAGTCTGTATCCTGATGTTGTAATGGAACTACGAAAGCCTTCTTCATTTGTCAGAAGAAAATGTGATACGATTGCATCATTATCTCCAATCAACTGTCACACAATGTCGATCAAGAATTAAACTTTCGACCACAATTCGTTTCTGAACAGTCAGAAAACCCGTTGACATCTCTACAACCAAAAATTTCTTCATCATTTTTATTTTCGTCTTCACCATCTGCTATAACAAAACTAAAATCATCTGTCTTTAATCCAATAAAAACGACATTGTTGTACATTGGTGTCTGATAGATTATTTAATCAAACTTCAGTCAAACAAATCGATAATTATTTTCATCGACGTTGTCAACATTTATAACATAATATTAATTTAACATTAAATCTTAGTACATGGCTGTTGGAAAATGTTCTGTGTTATTCAATCGAAACTGTAAAACGTCAATCTCAAATCCTGTCAGTATCAACGCGCTATCATCTAACTCCATTGACAGCTATTGCTATGTTATATAAAATTAAATACCATCAAGGCATCGGATGTTTATGGAAAGGTAAGATATAAATTAGATATAGGCAAAAGATGAATTTTTACTTTTCCATTATATGTGGTGAAGGAAGACCCCATAACAGATAGCTCTATTTTTTTCTTACTTGTACAAAATCTTCGATCGTCTGAGAGAGAGTAACTTTTCGGTTATAACTGAACGACTTAGAGAAAAAATCTAGAAAAAGTAAGTGTTCATCTTTGAAATTTGTCGAAAAAGTATTTCCCTCAGAATATATCTCGTGTCTACGAATATTTAATTGAATTCTCTGTTTTTATTTTAAGGTTGTTTTAGTGCATTGATTTTGAATACAATAACATCGATAACGGATAATATGATCGATTAAGTTGTTCTAATTGAACAAGAAATGTTTCTGAAAATATTCAATGTTGAATTATTAAAACATTTTCTATTGAAAACGCTAAGTTCATTTGTTTTAGTAGTACCAATTTATTCTATACATTTAATACGTTCTGTTCAAAGCGATTTAACCGTTTATTCTTATTCACCCCTGAATATATTCATTGAACCATTTCGACGTTTAATGGGTACGAAAATTGGTTTAAATGCGAGACCTCTATCACTATGGCATATTTTATCCATTGGCATACCATATTTTGTACTACGTTATTCATTGCAATACACTGTCTATAATATATTCATAAAAATATTATCAGAATTCAGAACAAAACAAGAACAACATGTTCGTTTAAACGAAGTTGCTCAAATTGAAAATATAAATGATATCGAGTATGAAATAATAGAATCTATGCCATCGATAGTTAAAATTGTTATTTAAAAGTAGAATCAAATATTTTATCATATATTTTCTTCACAATTTATTTTATATCCATTTGAAACTGTCATGAATAGATTATTTATACAAGGTACAAGAACAATTGTAGACAATTTAGAAACAGGTATAGGATGTATTACGATAAACACAAGATATACAAGATTTTAGGATTGTGTACGAACAATTCAAGAATTAGAAGGATTTACAGGTTTTTACAAAGGTTTAGGATTTTTAATATTAAAATATGGTTTCATTTATTTATTATCATATTCAATTAAATTATTTATTGAAAAATTAGCAACATTATATGCTCAACAAACAAGCGAAATAGGAAAATTTCATTATGCTACGAAACAACTACAATAAAGTCAAGAACAAGATGCATTATAAATTTTTCTATATATTTAGCATATAACTGAAAATTAACGCGTTGGGTGTCTCGGGAATATCGTACGGTATCGATATTTTGTTAATAAAGAGCGGCATATACGAAACTAAGCATTTTTCTAGTCACTTTTTTTTTATTGTATCTCGTTTTTGAATGTAATATGAATACTTTTTTTATTGTAACTATATTAGTTCGAAACTTGTTATCAGTGATAATTGTTTTTGTGTTCTATCTAAAAATTGAAGATAGATGAATGATGTTTTACCGATTTGGTTTTTGTTATATATGAAAAGATATTCGAACATTCTATACACGTTTTTGTCTATCATTTTTTTTTTTATAGTAACACAACAACGTATTACTGAAGTGGAGCAAGGATGCGTCATATCTAAAATCAGTATGATATGGCGTACAAAACATTCAAAAACAGCTACAGAGTTGTTCTTTATGTATTTGATCACTTGTGGAAAAGTCAATCATTTTTGTATGGATTTTCCTACTTTGTCTTCCTATCCAAGTGTATCTTACTTCTTTAATAATGTATTTTTATTTTTAATATACCTGTTGTTTTATTCTAGTAAAATAATATTTATGTACTATTTTTCTATTTTGAAAAGAGAGATGAATTATGAGATTATAGACATTCTCTTTTTTTTTTCATTCGAATTTATCAGAATGTATTCTCTTTATTTCCGTTCTGTATCTCTTTTTGTTTCTTTAATGAACATAATTAGCGTTTGAAATCATCTCGAAAAGAAATCTTTAGCTTCACTCTTAAACTCTACAAGAAAAAATTTACTGTGTTTCTAATAAAGCACACATACTTAAACCTTAATTTTTAAAACAAGATTCATCTCAGTTCTTCCTCTAACATTTTGATAAATGTTTGTTTTAGATAACATTGTTGTAAAGCATGTTGATTCCACAATGTCGACTTAGTTTTATGTTCGTTTCCCAAACATTTTTTCTTCTTACCACAAAATTGATATTGTCAGATACAACTTTTATCGATACATTAAAAACTAAACAATCGACAGTCATTAGTAAGTATATAAATATTATCGAATTATTATCATTTTAATTTACCGTTGTTGTTTTTTCTTCTCTAAATAGATGTTCCGGTTTACGAACATACAGTTGTTGATAATAGTCAGATAACAGATGATAATACTTCTACAACAACCGAAAAAACTTTAATTCGGTACTTTTTTTGCGTATATATATATATATTTATTTAGTTATTTTTGATATTATATTTGTTTAGAGTTACGCGTTTTTATGGTAATTTACCAAATTTTCCACGTCAGAAACGACAACTCGTCGAGTAAGTGGAATAAGATATGTCATGTATTTGACAGTTAACTATTTTTGAAATGAGATTATAAATGTTTGGCTTGTTGTGTATACTGCTATGTATGTGGTGGCATGGTTCATGTTTGGATTAATTATCATTTATTTAGAGCAATTCAGACAGCTGGTTTTGTTATTAATATTGCAAAATCCATGCAAAAAACTGAAAGGTACAACAAATAATCGTTTTTTTTCTTTAGTTGTAATTTTTCATGCTTATTGATAAACAAAAAATTATTCGTTCATTTTACTATATAGCTTCTGTTGTCCTATTGAGCTTTAGTTGTAGTTCATTGATAAATTTTTGTGAAACTAAAATTAGAGCACTAGCATTCAGAAAATAATGGATACTTATTTTCAGATGAGATGGTGAAACAATGTAAAGATTAGTGAAAAATAAAAAATCTGAGTCTATTCTTACATCACTGTATTACTTTATAATAAGTATAATGGTAATTTCAACGATATATATATATGTCCATTAACAGGAAGAACATCGATTATTATGCAGTCTGGAATGTGTAGTTTAAAAAAAAATGTAAAAAGAGTGCTTCATTAATCAATTTTTGCTATAAAGAGTTGTAATACGCTATATATATTTTTTATATGCTTAAACTGCTTATTTTTGATTTATTTGATGTTACTTTTGCATATATGGGCATGTATCATGCTTTTATAACAGAAATACGATTATATAAATCTTACCATTCTAAAATCACAGTGTCTATTCATTTATCGCACATAATACTTTCTTCATACTAATTAAATTTATTTATGAATCATTTCTATCATACTAAAATCTCTATATACGAAAAAAAAAAAATGATAATGTGTATTTGAACAGCTTGGAAGTTACTTTAAAAAAAAAATGTACAGTTTTGATTTACTCAAATATTTATATGTGAAATGCAACAATAATTAGAAAACACAATTAGAGTATTTTTCTTTCCATGTTTATTTTAGGCGTGAAGAAATAATGGGCATTGCAAAGAAAGTGGCAATTGTTATCATTGTAACCGTTTCACTTTGCATTGTATGCTGTATCGGTTCGACAATTTTTCTTTGCGTCAAATGTTGTTGTAATAATAATAGAAAACGAGAACGAAGTATGTATTAGAGAAAAACAATAATATTATTCATAGAATTTAACACTATTAGATATTTGAAAAACAATGTGAAAAATTCACTTTTCTTTTGTAATTTTGAACTTTACTAATCGTTATAATTTGTCAATTTATAAAATTTTAGCTCAAACAAATCAAGTTCCTCAACCGATATTTATTAATACTGATCAAAATTTTCAGCCATCTCGTCAATCGGGCTATAATCCGATACAAATGCAATCGAATGAATCTCAAGCAATGTTACAACCGAGTGCACCTCCTCTGCCATATCTTAGTGGTTATGATATACCTTTTCATCATCATACTGATCAACCTCCATCTTATGATGTTTTATATAATAAAAAAATATAATTGTAACAATAAACTTATACATTTTTTCGTTTGGTGTTCAATTTTTGTTTTTTAATTTGATGTTTATGTTATCCAAGAAACACACGAATAAAATATGCAATTTTTCTTAATTTAAACTTGATTTGTCATTGACACATGATGTTTTTACTGTTGTTGCTCATTGTGTTTTGTTTGATTATATCCATTTATTTTATCGATACAAAACACGAATATTGTGTCAGATGTTTCATATAATATTTGTCTCAGGATATTTTTTTCTTTTATTTATCAATCGAAACTTGTCTTTTAATTTTGATCGCATATTTTCTGTATGTATGAGATTATTGTTAGAGATATATTTGGGGATCTGAAAATGAAATCAGATATAACGTTTATATATTTTATGAATATGGAAATGCATTGAAATTATATGAAACACAGTATTTTTTTCTTTTTGTTTATGTACTTTTTTCTACTGTTTTTGTAATTATTCAGGCTCTCTCTCTTTCTTTTATATAAGACTGTATTTTCGCTGTTAGCGTTTTCCCTGATTATTATTATTATTTGTTAGGTACTTGTAATTTTAATGAAAAAAAAAATTTTTTTTTTGTCACTCTGTCAAATTTGGTCAAAAACACAATTCAGTTTTGTATTTAATAAATTAAAGAGGAAAACGAACAATGATTTACTGTATGTCTATAAAAAATCGTAAAGAAGACGGTTTACTTTCATTTGTTCAATCTACGAAAACGATTGATCAAAATTTGTAATCGCTTCTTCATACACGGGTGCAGTGATAGTCACATTATCTTGTTGAAATGAAATATCCGTTGTCGCATTATTATTAACATTAACAAAAGTGATATCTGGTTTGTCTTTATCGATAACTTTGACCTTTAATCCACCAGTGAGTGTGTAGTTTATGAGTACACACCCATGTTTACTGTTGACACTATTTGACTGATCTTTTTCATCATTATTCTGTGCATATTTTTCCATCATTTGAGTTTTTTTTGGAAATTGTACATCGGTTACTTTTGGTAATTTGATACGTTGAAATTCGTCCATACGTGCATCGAGTACTCGTTGTGTTTTTGTCATTGTTGTTAGATCTTGTGGTGGTGTTGAAGTCGAATGTTTCAATATGGTTTGAGTGATCGACGTATATGTCGATGATTTTTGTTTCATTTGTTGTTTATTCTCTTTTAATTCTGTTAGGAGGACATTGTTAGTTGATTTTTGTTTAATATTCATATTCGGATGGATTGTTGTTTTCAAAATAGGAAAATTTGATTTTTTTGTTAAATGATTATTCTTAGAATTTTGATAAAATAAATAATTTTTAAAACCGGCATAATAGAACACTAATTTTTCTTTAATTAATTGTATTCGTGCATGATCAAACGCACTGTATTCATGTATATTTGATTGAATCGCTTTTTGTAATGATTTTATCATGCGCATGTTTAACTCATCATTTATTAGATCAATTTGAATTGTCGGTGATGATAAATATGTTTCGAGGATATATTTTAATTTTGCTTGTAATATTGCATTATTGGTTATCTGTTTCATACGTAATACATCAATACAAAATAGAAGATCACGATCTAAATATGGTGTTTCGTCTTTATTAATAAAATGTGTTAAATAGGCATAGAAATAGAAAAATTGTGGATTGTATTTTCCTATTGCTTCGTCTTGTATTAAATTCATTAATTCGGTCAAATGTTTTTTCTTTGGTTTCCTTTTACCATCATTATTTTCATCATATTCATCTACTTCTGTTTTATCTTCATCATCATCATCAAATTTATTACTTTCACTTGTAGAATAATTACTTGATTCATTGAATAACATTACCAATTCTGTATTCGATTTTGATAGAAATTCTTTAAGTGATTGAATTTGAAATTCTTTTGTACAATCTTCACAAAATAATACAAATTCACCTTCAAGTTCATAACGTAATTCTTTATAGACTAAACGTAAAAATGATGGATTAAATTGATCATTATTTAATTGTTTTGTTAATTTTTCATTTACCGGTAAAATTGTTCGTTCTGATTGACTATTAAAATATAATTTTTTTATTTTATCAAGTATTTGTCGTTTATTTAAATCATTTGTTGTATTCATAAATTTTATTATATCAAATATCAATGCTAACTTATTATTAAGTTTGATATTTTTTAATTTAAGATATCGTTGAAAATAATTTAATAGTGGACGTTTATTATTATTGGATGATAATGTAGATGCATTTAGTATACAATCAATATGTAAAACATTACCGGTATTTAGATTAGTACTAGTTCTAAGACGATTTAATAGACGTTTAGCATCAGCTTCTAATCGTTGTCGTTGTCTCGCTGCTTTTAAAGCTTTTTTACGTGCTATTTTCATTTTTGTCAAACGTTCAAGTCTTTCAAGACGAATCCGTTCACGTTCTTCATCTGTTATGAGAGGAAGATCGATTATTTTTATGAGACATTGTTGTTGTTGTTGTTGTTCAATGGTAGTTGATGAGAGATATTGTTCGACCCATGGACGTTTTACATAAACAGTATCATTTATTATTTTCATTTCAGTATTCGATGATTGAATTCTAAATGACTATAGTAGAGAAATGATATTGACTCTAATCTAGAAATATTCTACTTACAACGTTTAATTCACTTTTTTTTACTTGATTATTGTAATTCATTGTATTTTGAACAATCTCCTTGTTATCTTCTATTTCATCTTCATTATTTCTATTTTTTTCTTCTACTAAAAGATAATAAGCCATTGTCAATTGATCAATGTCAAATTTTAAACATCTTAACCATGGATCTTTCAAAAATATTAAAACTTGTTTGTATAATATTTCAAAAAATAATTTATTAAACTCATACATTTGAATACATATTCTCATTGTTTGAATGTCAACATTTGGTAAATATTTGTCAAGTGATAATTTAGCAGAATTTCCTATACAAAATTTCAAAATTAGAAATATTTCAAAATAAAAGAGTTTGATCATACATACCAAAATACGTATTAATAATTGATAATGCATGTTGTCCTATAAATATCAACAGAATTTCAATATTATATTCATTAATATTTCTATATATATTATACCTTCGAATACTTTGTCATCTAGATCAGAATAACGAAAATCATCTACATCATAACAAAATAATATGAGCGATAATAAATGTTGTTCATTATAGGCTATATAACGAAGAAATAGGCCACCAGCTATTTTATCTTGTTGTATTGATTTATAAAAAATTTTCATAAATTTTGTTGAAAATAATCGATCTAATTCTAGTTTAATTGATTTTTGTTTATAATTTAATATTAAATTATTTATATGTATTTTATTATTTGTATAATCATTGGATAAAAATACTTGTGTCATATCAGCTAATTTTGATACAATTTTATTATCAATAGGATATAAACAAACATTGGATATTTTATTTTTTGAATGATAATTATGAATAAATAATTGATGAGTAATATATCTTGAACACCAATAAATACGTAGTCTTCGAAGAATATCATATTGAAATTGTAAGAAACTATCATCAGTTAATGAACCATTTTGATTTTTTCTATAGAAAGTACGAATTTTATTTTTTAAATGACACATAAATGGAAAATGATATTTTTCATTTAAATCTCGAAATAGACGTGTATATGGCACACTATTTTTATCTAATCCTTTCATTGTATCCTTATAAAATTCACAATCCATCCAAAAACGATATAAATCATAACCATTTGTAGATTTAAGAAATTGAATAAAATTTTGCATATTTGAATGTGAACCTAGGACAAAAAAAAATGATTTTAAAAAGTTTTAAACAGAATTTCTCTTTTACCTAGATATTTGAATTTTAATTGTTCTATCGAATTTTCTAATTCAAAATTTAAAATTTCTTCATCATCATCACCGATCATGTCATTTATATTCCATAAATAAAGTTCATCTTCGGGTACAAACGGTGGTTGTGTGATATGACTATCTTCACACAGAGATGCCATTGTTGTTGTTGTCTCTTTTAATGCTATTGATTTTGATATTTTTTCACTTGTTTTACTACTACTCGATCTTTTCGATATGTTAAATAACTTTGAGTCTGCCGATTTTGTATGCATCGTTTTTGTATTCTCTGTAAGAAGAGGCCCATAAAAAATAAAGTAGTCTATATATATATATATATATATATATCATACATTATGTTAATACACTCTAAATCGACGTTGTACTACTTTTTTACTATTTATATCAAAATGTTGAAGTTACAATTCATTTTTTATCTTACCTACATAGACAGGAACACTGTGTGCTCGACGTTCGGGTCTTAAAAATACTTTTGGCATTCGAAGTTCTAATGCCATCAATAAATCTTCAAATATGGCGTTTGTATCACTGCTGTTATTATTATTACTTCTACTAGTATTGTTATGTACTTGATCAGTATAATCTGTATCTGAATATTCTGTTGATAACGATATTTGACTTGTGTATACACTCGTATGACTATAACCACCAATGTCTATAAATTAGTCAATAGTCATATAGATAGTTTTTTATTTATTTCCTACAAAGTTATTATTCTTTTTACCTTGACTAGAATACAATGATGTATATTTGTCTATTGTCCATGGTCGTAGAATTTGTTTACATAATTTATATTGTCGATAGAGTTCTGTACACCAAAATAATTTTAAACGTTCCTTCATTGCCCATTGTATCATTTGTACTTGACGCACTTTATCAAATGTTTTTGTTTTTGTATTATCATTTATTTTAATATCATCAAATTGAAATAGTTTATCATCATCGTTGTCTACACCATGTTTTTCAATATTATAGTTATTATTCTCATCTTTCTTCTCCACAAATGTATGTAAGTCGCGATCATAATAAATTTTTTGTGGAAAAACATTACATTTTAGAAATTCATTAAAATAATCCACAAATATATCATCTAATGATAATAATTCTTCAAAATCATGGATACTAAATATGTCTTCCTCTTGCTGTTCTTCAAACATCCTTCTTTTTTTTCTCTGTTTTTTCACATTACACTATGAACGTTCAACTTTTTTCTATTTTAATCAAATCGGAAGGAGTAAAATTTTATTTATAAAATATTATTTTATTTATTGATACAACACAATGTTTATTGAAAGAAAAAAATTAGAAATTGAAAAGATAAGAAAGATATTTTTTATTTACTTTCTCATAATTTTGCTCGTCTCATCTCCTCCACAATGGAAGTAAAAAAGAAATTGGATTACTATTATCATTCATTAAACAGTACATACGGAAAACAAAAACTAGATTATTCCTTTTTATGCTCCTATTACTTTTGAAGCAAAAGAGTATCGAAGTCATTACTTTGAGTTTTTGAGAGAACACTTGATTTAAGACACTTGATGGTAAACTATATTAAATGGAAAAAGTGTGTGAACTCAAAGTTAATCTATTGTTTTGCTTGTTTGCCCTTAAGAGAAATTTATAGGTAAGTATATTTTTTTAAAATAATTTACTTTCACTTAAGCGTTCATTATTCAAATTTTACTTGTAGAAAAGTAATAAATATTTCTATTTAAGTTCTATTTCCGGGACGATAACTTCTTTTTTCTGCAGAATTTTGCGCGGGTTTAATATTTACGAAAAAAATGTTTTTGCATTTTTTTCTGCGTGGTAACAGAGGGAAAATTTGCACAGAGTATTTTCTCTGAACAGTATCTGTAAAAAGATTTGTTTATACTGATCAAGAACAGTTGATGAAATAAGTTTCTGTAGTTTTTAGAGATATTTTCCTTTCTCTTAGATTATTCTTCTAGAAAACACATGATGAGACTAGAATTTAGGTATTATGTGTACAACGTCTTTGACGGATACAGTCTCATAATTCAGTCTAAACTAAAGTGGAATAAGAGCGTGAACTTATAATTAATCAATTGTTATGTTTTTCTGTGACTCTCCCTATTAGAAATTTATAGACAGAATTTCGAGATTTAGAACACAACAAGTTTTTATTATAAAATGTCATCAAATCGACATTTTGCCAGATACATTGCAAGTTTTAAAGTCATCAAAAACAGTAAATCTAAGAGTTCAAAATAGTTTTTGAGAGAGCTTTCGATAGATTTCTACAATATCATGTTTTAAAATCGTTTATTTAAGAAGAATATAAAAGTTACAAATAGATGTTATTTTTCTCGATCTACAGTATTGTGTAAAATTATAGACTGATCTGTTCAAACCCAGTTGTTTGATCACTCTCAATCACTGTACACTCTTGTGCAAAGAAAAATATTTGTGACTACATACATTCGAGTATGCTCTATCCGAGTATAAAATCAGATTTGCTCAATACGACTTTCAAGTTCGAGAAAACAAATCTTTATCGAAATCCATTGTTTTTTGGTGAGTCTGTAATTTTGCATATGACTGTAAATCAAATAAATAATTTTAAAACATGACATTTGGTAATAGCGAGTAATGGTTGTTGATGTGGTGGTTCAAATGCTTCCTTGATTCGGAATTCACGAAAATTCAATATTGGATCTCGCATATTGTCATGAGTCTCCTTTCCTGTATTATGGTACCATTGAAGAGCAGCATCACGAAGTAGTGTTGCTGCATATACCAGTTGGTCATTTACTCTTGAACTTGAAACAGCCATATTGTAACATTTTCATTCTCTTTCCCTGAAAACAGTGGTGATGAAATTTGAATTGATTGAGCAAAAGGTTGTCGGTCTTGGTCTTGATGGTCGCCCATGCGAAAGAACTACTCGCTGCTATCAAATGTTATGTTTCCAAATTCATAAACATATTGTTGTGCTGTATCTTTTTGTCGCAATTGTCGTAGCTGTTTTCTTAGTAGTTCGTTCACATGGCCGTTCACATCTGGTTGATCTAGTTTTGTGAAACTCCTCCTATAGCTCCGAAAGGAAGAGATGAAATTTATACTCGAAAGTCCTTGATTTTGGCCTGAATCGGTGGTCACATCGTCCTAAACTAGTAGTCGCATCGACTTAAACTATTCAACAACTTTTGAGAAGTTTCACTATTTTAGCCCCATAATAGACTCTGCCCTAACAAAGTTTTTTTCCTACTTTTTTATTCTGTACCACAAGTTTAGTCTAGAGAGGTTTACCAAGACGACAGTTGGTAACGCATTTTTGAAGAGTGTGTAAAACTAAAATTTAAACTATCGCAAAAACTATGCGATTTGTTTTTCTAAAAATCATTCTCCTTTAGGTTTTTGGCATTTTTCATCTCGACTCTCGTCTTTCATATCTAATCCTAACTAAAGCTTGTAATAGTTCAGCCATTGCATGATAATTAACAAAAGGTTGTTCTCGATTTTGGATTTGATCTTGATAGTGGAAAATCTCAAAAAAATCCATTTATTCGCATACTATAACATGATTAGTTTTTAATACTTTTTTCATTGCATTCTCTAAAAATGTCTAGCACATTTCTGAGGAAAATATTTCAAGATTTTTAAACACCAGATTTCAATTTATAAAATTCAATGTTAAAAACAACCAATCATGTTTTTTCCGCCATGTTTCTTACAGAGTCCCGATTCTCATACTAAAAATATTCTCCCCTGTTATTTCCGTATTATTGAAATAAGACACATTACACTGGTGAAATCTCATAGAATACCGTTATCGTTTATTTTCGTCGTCGAAGAACTCATACTTATCTTCCGTTTTTGGGTTATGAACTCGCTAATATTAAACTGGATAAATTGCTCTGCTCTTGAATCACATTTATTATCAACATTGATGGTATTATGAGTTAGAATGGTATAATCCCTGGTATCCACCTATTAAACAATTATAATCAGTATCGATATTGTAACTGATTACTTGTAATGTAATCGCTCATTGATGAGATTCGTTTCAAGTCTTGCGCAAAGGAACATTTGATGTACATATCATATAACTTGTTTTAATTCATTCATAATTAAAATAACTTTTATAAATAGGAAACAATAGTAAAATCTGCTTTTTTATTCTGTTTAAGCAGAAAAATATGCCTGAGTTAACTGTTCATTATGAAGCGCGAATCTACTGTTTTGTTGCGGTTTATCTCAATTACAGTTACATCTATGTCACTTAAATACAATATACCAATATAAAAATAGTTTTGGTTTATGTACATATCTTTGGTCATTACGCCTACCTTTTGCTTATATAAAAAAGATTAGCTTTTCGTCGAGCAATAATAGTATATTGCATACACAAGTATACTAAGTGGAGATATGCTCATTAAAAAAAATCCAATTAGTTGAAATGATGAAGGATATATATAGTTCTGGAATGCAATTAATTTTAATTGACTCACAGCTATACTTAGCATACCAAATAACCAAATGGGAATAATAAATAACCAACATATCCAAATAAACGTCAAATTTCGTTTTAATACTTCACTAGAAACACATAAAATCAAGGCTTATTGAAAGTTGAAAAATTTCATATTCTCTCATATTTTACCTTATATGCCTTATAAACAGCTTCCCTGGCCATGCATTGGGTTTTCGTTTCTCAAACCAAGACGACAATGTTGTACGATAACAGAAAAGAACGGTAAATAGTTCGATAATACAAATGATCAGTAAGGGTAATGTGCCACAAATATAAGAATCAAATAAATTGAAAATGTAAAAGCCAGCTTTTGTACACATCGGCAGCCCACATAGAAACGATATCAGAACATAAATAGCTACAATTATTTCACGTAATTTTTTTTTTTTTTTTCGAAGCCCGCTTATTTTATCAAATGCACCTGTTAATACTGATTCACATGTTACCTAAATAAAATATAACTACAGTTTTATAAGATTTATCAGACCTTGAATGTGTTTACTATTACTGCTTACAAACTGAGAATCAATACCCAATAAAAATATCATGATAAAAAAGGTAACAGCCCAAAAATGAGCGTATGGCATTAACGAAATAGCTTTCGGGTAAACAATAAACGCCAATCCAGGACCACTCGATACGACTCGGTCTATAGTCACATTGTTTTTTACAGCCATAAATCCTAGTACCTATTTAAATATTACAATGATGACTAATAATTCAAAGAACTTTCTTGCTATCACTTACGGGAAAAACGACGAAACCACTAAAAATATTTGTTAATATACTTGTTGTGCCAGTTATGAGAATATCATTAAAAAAATTATAATCTGGACGATTGTAAGAGGAAAGCGCGGGAATGATGCCCCATCCGATACCGTAGGCCCATAAAACGTGACCGGCAGCTTGAGTCCAAGCTTTCGAGCTCAACAACTGTTTGACATCAGGTATTAAATAGTATTGTAATCCATACCATGAACCCTCTAATGTTATACCACGAATAAATAATGCAATCATTGGTATATAGGGAAAAAATGCTAAAATAACATAAAAACTAAAGGAATTGTATAATCTCTCACTTCTGAATTATAATACCTGTAAATACTGCTACACGACTCGTTAGTTTGATACCTTTCCATAAACAAAAATAGATAATACACCACATGACAAATAAACCCACTACATTTGGCCAATGAAATGTGGATAGACCAGATAGATCGTGCGATTTATTCAGTATTGAATCATTCCAAAATTTTTCAACAGATGTAATAACACTTTGATTTGAGAACTGCAATGTAGAATTTATACCTAAATGAAGTTATAGAAAATCTCAAAAGGTTTACCAAAAATACAACTACACCCATTTAGATAAAAATATTTACAGTACGAGTCGGTCTCAAACGGAATTTACTAAGATGTAAGTGATCATTTACCAGCTAAATTTTCTATCGCGTTATCACTCCACGGCAGTTGTTTTCCAATGGTAGCAAACGAGTGTACTAAATAAATGCCACCCCTAGAATAAAGAATACATCATATAGAGTAAGATCGAAAATATTAAAAATCCATTTACCAAACCATAATCATAACATAATATAATGCTCCAGAAAATGAGATGAGTACCGATGCAATACCAATGCCTTTCATAGCTGGTGCAAAATTCCAACAACCTACGGGACCCTCGGATGAAAATTGACCGAGAGCAGTTTCCATCATCAACAAGGGTATGCCACATAATAAACTAATAATAACATACGGAATAACAAATGTTGCTCCACCATTTTGAAATGCCAGATAGGGAAAACGCCAAATGCTGCCTAGAATATAAATAATTAATTCATGTTTTAAATTACTATTACCCGGAGAATATTACCTAGTCCTATTAGCCCTCCTAACGTTGTTACCAAATAATCACATTTTGTTGGCCATGTTTCTCTTACTGGTAATTTTTCTTCTTCTGATGACACGTTACATTGCGGAATAATTAATAAATCACTATTATTTTTTGTATCATTGTCTAACTCTGCTAATGACGTTTTATTCTCGGTAGATGGTAATAGAAGTGTTAGTGCCATTATTTCATTCTAGATAGTCAAGTTACTACGATTGTCATTAAACTAAAAACATTTTAATTATACTCACTTTTATTAAATATATGATTTATGATTTATGAGATTAGCTCGCCAAGAAAATTGAGAATAATCACCTTTTATCAGTGTATATATTGTACATATTTATCATTTTTAACGGATTAGTATTTTTTATGTTATTCTTTCTATTTTATTTGACGATTAAAGTCCAACATATGAGAAAGCTAATCTTCGAATCATGTGTGTGAACAGAGACAATAAGGCTATTATGACGCTAGTCAATGATTGATTTTTTGTATGGATTCTTCTCTTTTTGTCCGTCCATCGTATCATAATTCTTCCTTTCTTTATGTCCCTTTCATATTTTCTGTTCTGTAAAATCCGTTTTTCTTCTCACGTGCTTCATACACACGCTTTACCCTTAGAGTCATCGCCTTAGTTTGCTCATATTTGTTACAGTTTTAGTATTTTCTAAATCTAAAATCTATTTCTCAACATGTTAACAAAGCTTTTAGCTTCTGGGATAAAGTAAGTTTAGAAGCGTCGATCTATATAAAAAATTTTAAGATTCTCCTACTCATCCTCTGTTAATTAACAAAAAAATACACGAGGGCTTATTTTCTTTCCTCTTCTGTTACTAAAGTCGTTCGCACAGTGTCTTTCTTTTTCCTTGATTTGGTTACGTGTTTACATAAATACATAGAGAATCGCTCTGACGAACGTTTTTGTAGCAGAATGTTATCTTGATTTCGTACTTCAAGTAGCGCAAATGTACTGATTTCTAAAACCCTTTAAAAACGCTGTGTGTTTGCATGAATGTCATTAGGGATGGAAAAGTTCCAGTTCAGTTCTTTTGAACTAACTGATTAACTATTCTTGTTCTAACATAAGTACGGGAACTGCCAAACGTTCTTTTTAACAGAACGCGAACTGATTACCAGTTCTTTTCAAGAATTCAATATAAAATAAAACCGATGAACTTAGTTACAATGACTTTGTTTAATAGACGTAACGGTTTCGACGAAATTTTTGACTCTTTATCTCCTGAACATATCTGTTTACTAGTCTAGAACTCATTAATTAATATCAGATGCAGAAAATCACAATAATCAGTACAATAAAAAGCACTACCGTAAGTTGCATAAATTGCATATAGACATCACTATTCTGATGGAACTGTTCAGAAAACATCAATCTAATTAAAATAAACCATTTGTCTTTTTTGACAATATTCAAGTTTATTAACATCATAAACTACAACAGAATGAACTTTTTGTATAACTGGTACTGCGTCATCGTCGGTCGTCGTTTCAAATGCGCATGTTTTCACTGAGATCTCACTAAGAGATTTTTTGAAAAATTCCAATATTGAACCTTTTTAAAAAACCACTTATACCTATAAAACCAATTTATCTCAATTACTACTTAGTCAACTTCCAAACTCGATAAGAAATACGATTACGATATTTGTTTAGACACAAAAGTGAGTTTACTATGACAATAAGCCCAAATAAACAAATGACCAGGAATGATTCACATTTTTTACGATTAGCCAGCTATTTTGAGAGAATAACTTTATAAGTGTTGTCACTGTATAAACGAATAAATACCGACCAAGAAAAAAAAAGTGCTTTCTTTCGCGATTCCTATACGTTTTTTTTCCGCAGTTTTTCCTTGCCTTAAATACAGTGCAAAAGAATTGTAATCAATAATTATTCATTCAAAATAAATAAATTTAAAATAAATTTGAACAGTGGCTTTTGAAAATGCACTCACTTAGAATACATTAGTGATTTGAATAAATGCAGAGTCTGTACATGAATAGATGCAGTGTATTTAAGCCAAGAAAAACTGCCGAAAAGAACTCTAAGATCGTAGCAACAGCATCCCTTGCGCCGTTAGATCAAAAAGTACATGTTTATATACTACTCGACATGGGTGGTGGTCGCTAAAAAAAAGAAAAGTTGTTGTCTAAGTCAAAGACACATTGTCCTAGACAATGGCTTTTCCTTTCCTTTTTTTAGGGACAAACATCTTACCTGGGTCATAACATAACCAAAACGCGTACAGTCGTATAGTGACGCTTGTAATGACTCGTATAGTCGTACACTTTTTATTGGTCAGTTAGACCAATCATCATCACTCCGAACCTGATTGGTCTAGCTGACCAATAAAAAGTGTACGACTATTTGAGTGCACTGTACGACAATCATGATAAGTGACCGATAAGCCACAAGTCGACAATCTTGAGATCATTTCTGACAGAATCTTGATTTCAGGTCAATCTTATCAGATTCTGATCCTATACAATCAATAATAAGATTCAGATTAGAATGACCTGATCTGAAAATTTTTTCAAGATTCATGATCACTGATTCTTGGTAAGAAATCAAGATCAGTCCATTCACTGTCCCGAAATGTTACGGTAAATGTGTAACAATATCATGCTAAAAGTGTAGCAATGTTACGGTAAAAACTGGATGTCATGGTTTTACCGTAACATAGTCACACGTTTAGCATGATATTGTTACA